GGCGAGATTGACGGACTGGAAGACGAAATGGAACAGGAATTGACGCGTCCAGATTCGGGCCTTGAGACGACTGAAATATTTATATGTTATATTTAAGATAAACTGACGGCCAGTTTATCTTAACATATCTTATCTTATCGAAAGTTTAAGAGCTACAAGATCCAACAATTTTTACCTTTTTATGGTGGCCCCCGGCTTGACGGCCGGTTGTTTCCCGAGTGGGATTAGAACGAGTAGAAAACAGGCGATTCCGACGTTGAACACGGAGACGAGAACGTAGATACCTTAAAAATAGATCTAAAACTCAAATATGGAAATCGAACCATATTTTAAAAACGAGAAATCTGGAAAAATTTCGATTTTTTTGGAAAAAATTTTATATTTTTCTGGCTTCTTTTCGACAAATTTTTCCCCAATGATCGCTGCTAGCATGTCCTCAAAAAATCGCGAACAATGGAAAAATCAGGAAACAGAAAAAATTCCAGCTTTGATACGAAAATTCGGATTGTTGTTGAAAAAACGAGTTTTTTGGAAAAACTCCACATTTGCCTGCATTTTCTGGTTCAACTTTTTCCAGAATAATCACTGCTAGCCTGCTTCAAAACCCTACCAAGCAACGGAAAACTCTGCGTCTTCGGTATCTCCCCGGCCACAATATCCAACAATACACTCATCGACATCAGACTCGTCAGCCCGATTGTCAACTGGAAAGCATAGAAAATTCGTTGTAGTTTGTAGCCGTTGTTACCACCTTCTCCATCTTTTGATCATCATAATCATGACGCCAGAATATCCCGGCTATTGAGAGAGTTGACAGGATCAAACAAGGTAGCACGATTACGTAAATATAGAATTGTGGCTCTCGACGGACCGTCAGAAAGAATCCCGCCTAAAAAGTAGCTTTGATAACAGGCATACTGTAGATGAATGCAAAAAAATAAACTGTCTAACAAAGGTCTAAACGAATACGGTATCAAAACGCGTGGTGTGGAATGCGTATTCAGCCACTGCCGTCGACACATTTTCCAAAGCCCATTGGCCGGTACTCTAAAAAAGTATCTGCATTTGTCATTTTTAGCTTTTCTGGCGCGCACTTGGCTGTAATATCTACTTACCGCAGCAGGATACTCGATATCAATCAATGTGGTTGTCATCGAAACCTCGGAAATATCGAAAGAAAGTGCCATGAAAAAGATGCGACATGACTGCCGATCAAAAGGAAATAGAGAAAGCTTAAAAACCTTAAACTACAAACTACAACTTTTTTACCTGCAATCGACAGCTTATTTCCGCATAAAACTTGTGTAAAAACGACACAGTCCCGTTTGCAAAAACGGTCACCACTTTCCGATGGTCATCCACGAATTCGTGCATTATTGCCCTAATTGTCATTTTTCACGGAATTTTAGGCTTTTTTACGCTTCAGATATTGTATGCTCGGCCACCCATAACTTTTTATAGTTTAGGTAGATTTTCCCGAGGCCATCAAATTCACGAGGGTCCCAGCGAAGCCGCAAATCTTCCCAGCGCTTAAATAGTATGGATTTATAAGGTCCAAAATAGTTTGTAATGCACACAAAATAGTAATACAAAATTAAACTGCCTGCCAGAATAGCCATATTTTTAAAAAATGGAAGAAACTACGCCTTTTTAAAGGTTAATCATATGAAAAAAACCTACATAAACGACCTCGATCAACAGCCCAATCTTTTCGCTCTCCTCCATCTGAAGTAAAAGTCAAGTAGAAATAGGTTTCATCGCTTACGATATGTATAACTTTAAAGAAATTCATTTGTATATCGACGTTGAAGCGGGGAAGGGTCGAATTTTCTGGAAAACAGATATTTTTGCGAGATTTTTGAGCGGAATCACACCTCTTCTGGTGTCAATTGGAGCCACAGATTTGTCATAAGCCCTCGTTACAAATAAATATTGATTTAGACGATCGAGTGTGTAGAGAAATTCCTCGTATTCCACTAAAAATTTGACCTCAAGCCTTGAAAATCCTGAAAATCTTACCCTTAGCGTCCTGTAACATCAAATCAGTCCCATTTTGAGCCGCACAAGCTTTATACAACAAAATCGATATCAATAATCGAACTAGCCACATTTCGGCATCGAATAAAATTTGGATATCAACGTCGTTCTCCCCAGAATTCGCTTCACATTACCCCCATTTGGTCTTTTGAGTGTGTGGGCTGAAGTGGCCGGGCGATCGGTTTTCACTGCGCTACACAATATCCACGAAATCCTTCGTGTTTTAAAAGATCACGTGGATACTTAGACAATTTTTATAGGCTTACTTTATTAAAAAAGTCTTTAAAAGCTTTAGCTCGCCGGAAATCTAGGTTTTTTGGATGTTTTCACGGCTTTTAAAGGCTTGGCTTCGGGTGTCTTCGATTCACTTCTTAATTTACTTGCTATTTCTAAGCTTGAACCTTGTCATTTTTGTGCACATCGATCAACGCTCGATGCTTCCGGTTTTTGATCGTACGATCGGTTGTTGCTTCCTACAACCGGGGGAGGCGACCGTACCCCTCCTTTTGTTTGCTCTGGGCGAGAGACGCAGAGCGGGACACGTTGAACTCTAACAAAAAAGGCGCTTCTTTCCGCTTCTCCTAACAAGCAAAAAGCTCGAATTTTTCCTATATTTTGTTGTAAAACTGTTTATAATCATGCGCGAAAGCTTTACAAAGGTCTGGAGGTAGAATAGCGCTTCAAAAACATATGAAAAAATGCTTATTTGGAGGTCGGAAACCTATTTTATGACTTTTACTTATTAATTCTTCGTTTTCACATTGTTCCCTATGCTTTTCATTGCTTTTAAGAACGTTGTAATTTATCCATTCCAGGAGCCGTGCGGGTATTTGCTATGTGATGCGGTCTCTCCGGAATATTGTCTCACTTCTGCTCTTCCTCTTCCTCTACACTTCACTCTCCACGGCGGCTGGGCCTCCCCGCGCACCGCCTAAGCCATCCAAGATATGTATCGATGAGAGATGCTCAAGTATACTCGTTTTATAGGCCTCTATACCATTTTTCCAGGGCCTCTGTTCTCGACAACAGTCACCCGGTTGCTCGATGCTTCTCACGAACAATTCCTCAACAATCTCCAAGTTGGCGACACGATTCAAGTCCTTGCTTTCAAATTCAGCAATCGACCGGATATCATGGAGGCTCAGGTTTGGAATATCTAAAATTTTGTGAAGTTCTTTTTAGACGGCCGATGGTCGTAAAGGGTTGATCCTCGACGGGACCGTCTCCATCAGTCCGTACGCCGGATTTCTCCGCGCGGCTATTGACAACAAATTGCAGCTGTTAATCGTTAGCCAAGATGACAAGGATATCGGCGAAAAACGTGTCATTGGTAAAAATTCCCCTAATTAAACAAAAACATCTTGTTTTAGAAACCATCTTCGCGCACCAAGGTCTGATCCGTGACTACAACGTTGCTGCCAGGAGGGCTGCTCGAGAAGTGGGAGCTGAAGAGCCACAAGATCTGCCCATTCCGGAGCCCCCTTCAAAGGGACATGGCCATAGCCATGGAGGGCATGGACATTCTCATGGAGCACATGGACACAGTCATGACAATGATCATGGACATTCACATGAAGCCGGACATGGCCATTCTCACGAACCGGAAGTGCCGCCGGTCGCCAAGCCTGTTGGTCGGTTTTTGAACCGGTTTTTTATGGTTTCCATCCCAATTTTGTGGTAGAACCAGGACAATTTTTTTGGTTATTTTTAGTGTTTATAAACCCAAGACTGGCAAATTTGATTGGAAAATAGAGGTTTTACGAGGTTTTCCCCTTGAAATATAGCTAAAAATCCTGTTATAAAACGGTGAATCACGATATTTTTGTCTTCACAAACCATAGACGCCTTTAGAACAGTTTTTGGAACTTATCTTCGATTTTGGTAATTCGCAACTGGCTTCTAAAGAATTTTTTTCTGGGGCTTTATGCACATTTCTGGCTATTTTTAGACTTCAAAAATTACCAAATTTTAGAAACCGCCCCTCCTGCCGTGGAACAACCAGCCGACCCGGTGAAGCCTGAAACTGCTCAACAACCACCACTAGCCCAAGCACCACCTCAAAAATCTGAAGATGGTGAAAATAAGGTAATCCTAAATTTTGGCCTGAAAAACTGAACATATATTGTTAGGTAACCGGTGAGGAGGATATGGCTGCAGAGATTGAGCGCATGATGCAGAAGGATATCGAGATGATGGAGCTGCGAAAGGCACAGGTTGTTAAAACGCCATTTTCTATTTTTATGTGTTTTTAGAATACTGTTGACGTGGACGAGCCGCTGGATAACAACGTGACGGAGCAGCCGCCTGTCGACGAGGCACAACAACCACTTGTAGAAGCCCCTCAAACAACCCCACCGCCAATCCAGATGCCACGTCTCTCCTCGTTGGATGTGCTGGCCAATAAGCTCGATGCTACTATGGTGATTTTTTGAGGAATTGTCGGGTCCTAAATCTAATTTTAGCTAGTTTTTTGGTTACCAATACAAATAAAAATGCGATTTTTCCACCAAAATCGTCGATTCGAAAATTTGAACTTTTGTTCTGAGCTTTTAGTTAGTCCCTCAAGCAGAAATCAGCTAAATTGTATTCATAACGCCTGTAAAATACGATTTTTAGGCCCCGCCGGTCCCCGAAGTGCCCATCACCACCCCAGAGCCCGTGGCCGCGCCGGAAGTGACAACTCCACCTCCTCCAGTGCCTCAGGACCCCGTTCCGGTTGAGGTATACATTATCAAGATTTTTAATCGGGATATTTTGGTGTATTTTGTGTTTTCTGCCCCAAAAGTTTGGTTTCTTGACACCGAGTTATAGTTTTTTTTTTTCTGCAGCCGATCACCCCTCCTCCACCACCTACTGCAGTCGTTGAAGAACAACCGCCAGCCGACCCAACCCCCGCCGTCCCCGAGGGGTTCTGTGATGGGGATGATTGTGGAAAAGTGAAACCTCTAAACGAGGGCAGCATCATGGCTGAAGCGGCGAGAAAGTGGGAAATTATATTTTTGAGTTTATATGATTTTTCGTTCAGTCATGAGGCCCCTCCACCATCCATCGAGCCCACGACCACTCCATCGCCGGTAGTTGAACAGCCGCCACCACCGGAGGACCCGAATCCCGCCGAATTTGCCCAGCCCCCACAATTTGAGCCCACTACCACGCCGGCACCCGTTGAGGAGTTGGAGGTGAATCTTTGGTTTTATACCCCGGTTTTCGGGTCTAATCGATTACGGCATGTAATTACCAACCCGGTATGTTTTTTACGTTTTAAAACTTCCCCCATATTGATTTTTGCTTTGAAAACTAGAACCCTGAAAAAGGGCACTTTTCTGATCCCCCACGCTATGAAAATCCCAATTTTCTGGTCAGGAATTCTTTTTTTTCTACATTTATGCCTTTCCTGGTGCTAAATTTTGTTTGGAAAGCCAAAACCTGAAAATCAGGGATTTTTTTACGCCGTGAAATTCGAGATTTGCGTTTGCAGGGCCTCCGTATTGGATTTTTTTTGACGTTTAGGCCCTTCTCTGTATTTTTCGTCCTGAAATCCCGAAAATCGACCTCGATCTGATCGATTACGCCATCAAATTGATTCCAATTTTCCCCCTTTTTTTCTATTAAATTTATCCCGTTTTTTTCAGACGCCAAGCACGACGCCAGCTCCGGCTGTCCCGGAAGTGAATCCATTCGCCGATCGTTCTCTGCCCCCTCCACCACCATCTGGCCCTGGTTTCCTCGCCACAAGCATCACCTCACTGGCTGGTGGTATCCGATCATTGCCCGGATTGAATGGACTCTCTGATGGAGGTAAAAATTTTTGTATGTGTGGTTCTGTGGCATTATCAGGGCTAGGGGACCAAAAATTTTGTCGACTTCTAGAAACGTCTAGGAACGTCTTTTCCAAATTTAATTTTAAAATTAAGAACGTTTTAATTTATCTTTATTTTCCAGGTATCGGTATTGCCATCAACCTGACCATCCTGGCGATGACCGTTGTCTGGTGGCTGATCAATTCCGCGTTGGGAGGATCCGATTCTGGTAACACATTTCTTTTTTGTCTTTTACCGTCTTTTTAGTGAACTTTGAACGTCGTGCGGCCCACGATTTGGCGAGTAAGGTGAAGGCCCTGCAGACAGTACTGAAGGAAAGAGAGGAAGAGCTGCGGCGACATCAAATCAACGGCGGACAGGATCAACAGGCTGTTCATCAACTTAGCGCCGAGCTGAACAATCTGCGCCATTTGGTTGGCCAGGCTGAGGAGGAGAAAAAGAGGTTTATAAGATTTTTAGACGTTTCTAATTCTCATTTAGAATGAGCGCGGAGCTGAAGCGAGAATCTGAAGGCCGACAAACGGCTGAACATCACTACGCCGCAGAACGCGAAGCCTTGGAAGCGATGCGAGTCCGCGTGCAACAGCTCGAACACGTCGAACAGGCCCACCAGCAGTTGAACAACGAGTGCGAGGAGGTCACCCGCAAACTCAATGCGCTCCACAATGATCTTATCGGTATTTTAAACCTTTTAGCTGAATTTGATTGATATCTTTAGAACTGCGCCACCAAAAGGAGCGCGTCGACGGGGAGCTGAACTTGGCGAAGACGCGGGCCGAGGAGCTAAGCTTCACCCTGGAGGAGAAGGAGAAAGAGCTGAAAGACAAGGAGAATATGGCAGACGAATTGGAGGGAAGGACCGTCGGATTGGAGAGTATGATTGTCGATCTACAAGCACGGCTGGCTGAAGCGGAAACGAGACACGGAGAAGATGCACAACAACATCAGCAACAACAGGAGTCGACCGTCAAGCTCACCAAGGTCACCGAGGCACAATCGGCTAGTAGCGGTGAGGGTTTGGAGTTTGTATCCGATTTATTAATTTTTTTGTAGAGACAAATTTTTATAAAAAATACAAAAGTTAGATGGAAATTTCGTTTTGGAAGTATTTTAGAATTTTTAAGCCTTTTAATAACCCATTTAAATATAGTGAAATTTTACGAATGTCCTGCTTTTTGCTAACATAATTAAAAATATTGGTTTTTACAAAAAAATTTGGATTGTTAAGCTTTTTTCTGAGTTTTCCTGACGATTTTCCGGCTTGAAATGTGGCTGAAATTGCTAAGAACGTTATTGAACGTGGGTCCGCATATCTGAAATATTTAGAAAACGAAAATACGTAGAAAAGGTGCAAAATAGCAAGACAAAACCCCGAATTTTTAGTGTCGGAAAGCGGCGGCGGCTCGAATGGATGGTCGGACTTTGATTGTTCGGATGATGAGAAGGAGAAGAAAGACAAAGAAAAGAAGGACAAACAAAAGGAAACGACACCGCCCACACAACAACACCAACAAGTACAGCAGAAGATGACCAACGTCTCCACAGTGTCGGATATCCAAGAAGTGGCCAGGCTGAGGGGAGAGATCCATCGTCTCGAGTTGAAGATCAATTCTGCCGGGTAAGCCTTGGATTTAAATTGTGTAATCGATTGTTTTTAGACTTGAACTGGAGAGGGAGCAGGTGCAGAAGAAGGTTCTCGAGGAGCGCGTGAAATCCCTGGACGAAGCCCTCAAACAGAAGAGCCTCGAACTCGACAAATGGTACATTTTTAAATGCCTACATTATTTAAAATTTATTTATTTAAAAAATCATTTTTTGAATATTTTTAAAAGCTTCAGTTTGCCATTGAAAAAATTAGTTTTTTTTTTGAAAATGGGATGGATTTGGTTTAATCCTATTGATTTTTAATATTACGTATTTTTCCCTTAATATTTTATAAATTGCAAGTTTGCAATTAAAAAATATTGTTTTATAATTGACCATTTCGTTTTTAACTTTATTTATAACTATTTTTTTTCAGCGAAAACGAACGCCGCCTAGCCCTGGAGCACCAAACGAAGCTTCTCGGCATGTTCCAATCGGCACAGACCAAATCTTCCGACACTGAAAATATGGTAATTTTTCTTTTCCATTAAAAAACCATATTTCTCTTTTAGGTGGCCGACCTTCGAATCGACGCCCGCAAGCTGGAGGACGAGCTGCGGAAGGCTGAGGCCGAAAGGAGGGAGAAGGAGGTCGAGCTGAAGGCCGTGGAGGAAGAGCTGAGGAAGCTGAGGCATGATCATGTCAAGCTCGAGACGAAACACTTTGCCCTCAACAGGGAACATCGCAATTTGATGGATCAGAAGGTAAAGAAAATCGAACTTATGGATTTTACGGAACTTTGGCAATATCGGGGGAGGGGTAAATTTTTTCTAATACGTTAATAAATACCTAGTAATAGCATAGAAAGTGGGAAATGTTTAGCAAAAATGTCGGCGTTTTTTCACATTTTACACGTTTAGCGATCGTAAAAAAACGGTGTAGAACTTTGGAAACTAATTTTATACTAGCTAAATAAGATTTTATGGAAAAATTGCCCCCCCCCCCCGATATTGTAAAAGCTCTATTTTGAACTTCAATTTTTAGGCCCTCGGCGCGAGCCCGTCCGAACTGCTCGCGGGTCTCGGCCCCTCCGGCCTTGACCGTCTTGGTGCTGGTTCCCGTGGTGGTGGTGGTCTGCTGTCTGGTCTTGGCTTCGAATCTTCTGGATGGGATGAGCCTCCCCTCCCTCCTCCATCTTCTCACAACAATTCACATCGTCTCGGCTCTTCCCCAGATGATTTTGGTGAGTTTCGAGTTGTCTAGAATCTCCAGGATTCTCTCACTCTGTAACCCCTCGTTTTGTAGATCTTCTTCCAGATGCCTCTTCCCAACATCTCCGCCGTTCATCTCGGTCTCGTCGTTCTGAGAGGAGGGAATCTCCTTCCGATGCTGAGAGGAGCCACCATCCAAGGAGAAGCCATCAGCCCGTCTATCAGAAGGAGCCCACCTCGCCTGGTAAATTATACTTTTTTAGAATTTTGGAGTTTTTGCATTATCGGGGGGGGGGGGCGTGCTAAATTTACCCTATAACTCGGAAATTCCTCGTAATTCATAGATCTGAAAATTTTGGTACTTTTGCATTATCAGGGGGGAATTTTTCATATGCACCAGGAAACTCCAAATTTAACCTCCAAAACTTCAAAAAATGGTGAAGATTGCAAATTTTCGGGCGAAAACTAGTTTTAAAATTTCCGGGATTAAAAATCGCGAAAAACAATCAAGTAATGCTGTGTCATTTCGAAAAAAAATTGATAAAACTTGGCTAGCAAGGAAAAATTAACTCCCCCGATATTGCCAAAGAACCTACTTTTTTAGTTTTTAAATTTGTTTATTTTCCAAATTTAATTACATATTTTTGCAGGCCACCGCCGTCGTTCCCGTTCGCAGGGCCGTCATCCATTCATGCCATACAACGATCTGGCCCTTCTGAATACATCTACCACTTCGAGGGGAGGAGGCCCGCTTCTACCTGTCAGGTATATCATTTCTTGTTTCCTTTTTAATCCCAATTTTTAGGCCGGGTTCTCATACTGGGGGTGCTGTTGGAATGAGTGGGCATATGTACTATTCATCTGGGGGATCGAACTCTGGCAGAAGCCCTCCACCCGAAATGATCCATCAGGCAATCCCACCCGCTGGATTGCACAAACCCAAGGGGACACGGGCTGTTGGTACGCTTTAAAACTTAATTTTAATTAATTTTATTGTTGATTAGTTTTTAATTCAAATTCCGGATTTTTAGCGCCTTAAAACAGATTTTTATAACTTTCCTAATTATATATAGGTTTTTGAATTTATTTCCGGATTTTTACGGCTGAAAAACCGCATTTTAACGCGTAGTATAAATAAAGCTTTTGTTAATTAGGTTTTTGAACCTTTGAAAAACACATTTTATAAAATTTTCTTTGACTTACAAGTTTTAATTTACTTTCCCAGTTTAAAAAATATTAGCGTTTTAAATTTAACTTGGGTACTTTGAAAAATTTAGCATAGATTTCCATTATTTAACTTTTGAATTTTTTTGATAGCACTTTTACGCGCCCATTTTTATAAAATTTAACGATTTGACTTCCGTTAGTTCAATCAATTTAAACGTTTTATTTAATTTCTGGGCTTTTCAGTATTGCTTATTGAGCTTACAAGGAAGTTGGTGTCTGGACTTTGGACGAGACCAAGCCTATCTTGTGCAGAATTTTACGCTGATTCCGAATATGTTAACCTTTTTTCCGGAATAGCCATTTCTCGAAAGTTATGAACGATTTAAACCTCAAAACAGCCCAAAATCGGCTACTTTCGATGGTCATAAAAGGCTTCGGAATAGGTTTTAGACAAAACCAGATAGTGCATCTTGTTTAGAAAAAAATTCTCTATAAAATAAGCTACTTAACTCAAAAATGCTGAAATTTTGAACATTTTTGTAAAATTATGGACCTACCAATTTATCCAATTTTTCCAACTTTTCAATGATTTTGGAAAAGCTGGTACATTTTATAGAGAATTTTTTTCTGAACAGGATGTACTATCTGGTTTTGTCTAAAACCTATTTTGAAACCTTTTATGACTATTGAAAGTAGCCGATTTTGGGCTGTTTTGAGGTTTAAATCGTTCATAACTTTCGAGAAATGGCTATTCCGCAAAAACGGTTAACATATTCGGAATCAGCGTAAAATTCTGCACAAGATAGGCTTGGTCCCGTGCTAAAGTCCCGACGACACTCAAAAACGTCTCCTTGTTAGAGTGAAAATGTAATTTTAATCATTTTTCCGTAGCTATAAAAATCCTTTTTTTCAGATCTGAACGCTGCCTTCAAATAGTTGCTCATCCACCACCCGGCCACGGACCTCTGCCTCGTCTCCAATTAAACCCGTTAAATTAAACTCAACATCTGTGATATATCTATTTCCGTGTCCCCTTCATCGGCTTCTCGTTGTGCTTTTTAGGGGTTTTTCATTAATTAATCTCTCCCTCTATATTTCATCTATTAATCGAGTTGTGCCCCCTCCTCTTTCTGTTTATTTGTGATTTCCCCCAACCGATGATGATGACCGCAAAAATTTATTTATTTCTTTTTCTCTTTTCTGGTAATGCAATATCCGCGGCCCCTTGTGAGAGCGTGTGATTTTTTGTGTGTGGTACACGGAATACAGGTCTTTTTTAATTCACTTTCAATTTAAAATACAAAACATAAATTTATAGAAATTTTTTTTTAGATTGGATTACGGTTTTTATGAAATTATCTAATTTTTCGGTTCTTGTGCTTTAGCGGTGGGGGGGCGGATTTTTCTCCTGAACACAAAAATGCCTAATAGTATTTTAGTAGAATTAGGTTTATTTTAAGTGGAAAGACTATCTTAAAAACTTGAAAATTTTGGAATTAGGTCAACCCTCCCCCCCCCCGTTAATGCACAAGCATCAATTTTTTGAATTTTAGGACAATCAAAAAGACTATTTATTTGGGTATCTTGGTTACGGTATTTACAGTTGTGCCATTTTAGGAGGGAGGGAATCAAAAAATGAAAAGCCGGTCATCAGGGAAAGGCTTATCCGCCTAGGGCGAAAACGGGATCTCGAAAATGCGAGTTGGAGCCGGATCTCGACCTCTTGCTCCTCATCCTCTTTGCCTGGGAAAACGAGACAATTGATTGTCAGCTAGAAACGAGGAGTACGAGCTATTTTCTATTGCTAAAAATCGATGAATTCCCATCGATTATACCTATTATTATTCGCCATTTTATTGGTATTGAATGATACCGAATCGAGACATCATTCTTCTGAAGATTCGGGCAGTAGAGAGGATTCTCAAGAAGAGAAACCGACCGAGCTGGAGAAGCAGGGAAAGGAGAGTGAGTTCCGCTAATGGTCACTGCTAGTTTGCCTTGCTTCTATATCACTAATCTGCTCAAAAGGTCGATTTTTGCGGAAAAGCCGCCAAAGTTGAATTTTTTTTGATTTTATGCTTTTGTAAATGGTTCTTTATTAAATTGCCGTGTCAGCTGCATGCCAGAAAATAGTTTTATGAACCTATTTGCCTTTAGCAATATCTAAAATCGCTTCTATTGTATTTTGTGGAACGACGATTTTCGCGAGAAAAGCAATAACATTCATTTTTTTAGGTTTCTAGTCTTGTAAATGGTTAAATTTCATAAACTGCCGTGTAAACTGTCTGCCATACCATAGTTTCGCAGACGTTATTTAGAGTTAGAGGGATTTATAACCGTTTTCAGTAATGAACCGTATGATGATGAATATGGCGGGGGCGATGGTGAAATCCGTGTTTCCGGAAATGAACAAATTCGACGAAAGGGGCGCTCAGGTATTTTTATTATTGTTGTGTAATGCATTTAAATTCAGCCCCCAGCCAGTAGCGGTGGAATGCCGCCCGAAAATACGATGGAGCCCGGACCGGAAATTCGGAGGGCGCCAGCCAGGCGTTCGTTTTTCACTCCAAACTTTTGTAGAAAAAGATACGTTAGGATAATAAGCATGCTAACTTGTTAACTGGCATACAATATGCATAAAAATTTGGAGAAAATTTAATTCAAGCGATGCAATTTGGAAAAATACGAATTTTATAAGATTTTTCTGAAATCGGCTCCGGTCAAGGTCCAAATTTTTCTAAAGCCAGTATGAATAAAATTTTCCATTTTGAAATTGTTAGCTGGCAGACAGTATAGCTATGAATTTAGATATCACCATTTAACGGGTCAAATTTGAAAATAAAATCGATTTTTAGAAGAATTCGGCGCAGGCGGCGGTGATGCACCAAGTTTCGGTCAAATGGGTCCCCTGGTTGGGGCATTGGCTAGCAGTGGTGCTATGGACAGTTTGTTGAGTGGAATGGGCGGAACTGGAGGTATTTTTTACGTTGAAAGTATACAATAAAATTTTTTAAAAATCTAGCGGATTTTCAAAATTTTGTAAAAAGAACATGTTTCAAATTTTTCATTTTGAGAAAAATTACGCATTTCGTAAATCAACTTAACGAATTTAGGACATTTATGCGGTGCCGGTGTTGTTTCTGCAATCAGAATTAAGCTATAAAAATCATTTAAAAGAATTCGGAATTTTTTGAAAAATTTTGGGCTTTTGGAAGTTTTTGGCATGAAAAAGCTTCTAATCGGAAAATAAACTAAGTTAGAAATTCCAGAGCTATTTTCACAGTCAACATATACAACAAAAATTATTTAAAATTTTTTTTTTTTTTTTTTTTTTTTTTTTTTTTTTTTTTTTTTTTTTTTTTTTTTTTTTTTTTTTTTTTTTTTTTTTTTTTTTTTTTTTTTTTTTTTTTTTTTTTTTTTTTTTTTTTTTTTTTTTTTTTTTTTTTTTTTTTTTTTTTTTTTTTTTTTTTTTTTTTTTTTTTTTTTTTTTTTTTTTTTTTTTTTTTTTTTTTTTTTTTTTTTTTTTTTTTTTTTTTTTTTTTTTTTTTTTTTTTTTTTTTTTTTTTTAAATTTTTTTTTTTTTTTTTTTTTTTTTTTTTTTTTTTTTTTTTTTTTTTTTTTTTTTTTTTTTTTTTTTTTTTTTTTTTTTTTTTTTTTTTTTTTTTTTTTTTTTTTTTTTTTTTTTTTTTTTTTTTTTTTTTTTTTTTTTTTTTTTTTTTTTTTTTTTTTTTTTTTTTTTTTTTTTTTTTTTTTTTTTTTTTTTTTTTTTTTTTTTTTTTTTTTTTTTTTTTTTTTTTTTTTTTTTTTTTTTTTTTTTTTTTTTTTTTTTTTTTTTTTTTTTTTTTTTTTTTTTTTTTTTTTTTTTTTTTTTTTTTTTTTTTTTTTTTTTTTTTTTTTTTTTTTTTTTTTTCGATGAAGAAATGGTGAAAAAATTGCTAATTTTATTAATATCAAAACGAATTATTTTAGGGGGTGGAGGTGGGCGTAGCGTTGGGCCAACCCCTCAACAATTGAACGAAATGCGGAATCAGGCGTATCTGGCAGAATTGGCGAAACATCAACATGAATTGACATCCTATAGTGCGAAACAGATGGAATATTTGGATCAACAGAGAAGATATCAACAAGCTGTTATTGATCATCAAGCACAAGCTGCACTCCTTATGCAACAGCAACAACAGAAACTCATCAATGAACAGCTGGGTGGGTCAGCGGAGATTCTTTAGGAAAAATTATCCGATTATGCGATTAAATTCGTTTACAAGTTATATTGGGGCAATATAGCAAAGATTATTGGGGAAAGTTTGAACTGTCTGGCAACTTGCGTATTGGCATAGTTTCCGGATTTTTCCCGGGCAATCTAGCGGAAAATATTGGGGATTGGCCAGCTGGATGGCAGTTAACATATTAATCTTGCTTTCGAAGTTTTCCAATGCTATCTAGCAACGATTCTCGAGGAAGGTGAACTGACTAGCAGTTAGCATATTAATCCACTTTTCGGATTTTTCTAGCGCAATCTAGCGGAGACTATTGGGGAATGGCTGGCATTTAATCGATTGGCCTATTTGAGAACATTTTTAGAGGCCAGATAGCAGAGATTATTAGGGAAGGTTAACTGGCTGTCAGTTAGCACATTTAGCCTGGTTTTCGAATTTTCTAGGGCAAGCAAGTTGAGATTCTTTAGGGAATTCAACTGGCTAGTAGCTAAGTGATCGACCTAGTTTAAGAAGGTCTTTATGGCTAGCTAGCAGAGATTCTTCAGGACACCAAACCGTCTGCCAACCACCCAAAAAACCTTTTTAAGCACTAGACAACTAGCATCGATTCTTTGTGGAATTCTCGATTTTAACCAGATTTTATTTTTCAGGTCACGCAAAAGTGATGTACGCGAAACAACGAAAAGCCATGGCTTCGAAAACTCACAAGGAACCCGAAAGAAACCGTAAGTTTCCGAAAATTTCAGCAATTTAAAGCCGAATTTTTTTAGAGAAAAGGGTGTAGACAATATATTTTGGAAGTGTGTTCTAAAATCGTAAAAAATCGTTGTTTTTAGACAAATTGGGGGACAAAACACTGACCACGGATGAAGATTTGCGAGAATATTTCCGTCGAGAATATGGAATGGATATGCCGAAAGATGGAGAATTGACTGATGATGAAAGAGAGACATTGAGACAATTGAAAGTGGAACTCGTACAAAAGAGGATGGGAGGGGGAGGAGGAGGAGGAGGAAGGGGAGCAGGAGCACGAGCTGAGGCCGATGATGGTGGGTTGATTTTTATTGCCTTTTACTATCTCCATGGCAGTTTAGCGGGTTTTCAGAAAATGATGCTTAAATGTCAGTTTCAATAAATTTTGAGGCATTTAAGGACTTGAAGGCGGGAAATTTGGCAAACTGTCAGCCAGCTGATGAGGATACGCCTTCCATGGCCCTTTCACATAATTTTATTCGATCCACCGACGGGCAGTTAGCTTTAACCCACAGAAATTCCCTCAACCTCCATTTTCCGATCGACGACCGATGCTAGTCAAACTGTGTAGTTTTGCCTTCAATGGGCCTTTAAAAAGAATTTTCCGATTAATTGACAGGTGGCTAGGCTAAATCCACAAAAACGTACCCAGATATCTCTTCAAAAAATGTAGAAATAGTTTTATGCACCCCAAAAACCGACAATTTTGCTAACTGACCGCCAACTAGGCTAATTTTGGCTTCAATGGCCCTTAAAAGCAACTGAAATCTGCATTTCTCACAATTTCAGGCTCTCCGCAAGAGCACGGCGTGTGCAGTCTCTGTCAATCTGTCAACTTTCGTAAGTTGACGGGTGGATGGACCGAAATGTATGGAGATGCGAAAGCCATCAAACACACATTCCGCACTATTAATGCTCTGAATCAAAAGACAAGAGGCAGGAAAGGAACGTCCAAACCGGCTTGTATCGGCATTGAGGGTATTTTATAACAATTTTATTACATTTTAAATGGGTATTTTAAGTGGGAAAAGCGGGCGGAAGTTCAGCTGAAGCCAATTACTTCTATCGAGAATCTGGCGGCCAAGGGAATGCGTTACGCGAGGTAATTCCAAAGCTAAATATCCTACTATATATAAAAAAATAGTTCCTGTGTGTGTGTGCGTGTGCATTTGCATGCAACTTCCGTCAGGTTGTTCCAGTTGTATCTCAAGAAGAAGCGAAGCTAGGGGGGTGTTTGATACGTCATTCGGTGCGTAATGGCCTGGGAACGACTGCACACCAATAAAATTTTCAAAAATGAGCTGTTTTCGACGTTAAAATTAAGTTTTTGTTGAAAAATGGGCCACCCTCTTTGTTAGGAAACAATTAGCATACGCCGGAAGTTGCGGTAGCCTATATAAGGGAAGAGAGGGAGCGTTTCTGATTTTTTGTCATCGAAAATCGTGAGAATTATGAAAAGTGAAGAATATCATCGGATCAGACGGGGCCAGGGTTGAAAAGTCGCGAAGCGGCTTTTCAACCCTGGTTGCAATTAATTATGCTATGTAAATCCTCACATTTCAAAAAACATTTAAAATCCCGATTTAAAAGCTTTTTTCGGATCGAAGACACTCCGATTTTAGCATAAAAAATAGGTTTAATTTAGTTTGTATATTTTAGATGCGAGGAGAAATCAGAAAAACGGAGGAGCTGGAAGCTGGACTGTCGCTAGAGACACAATATTATTCGGCTGACTGTAAGTTGTACTGTACTGTACCCAGTCCGATGCAGTACGGTAGCGTACAGCATTGTCTACTATCGTACTCTACACGAAAAACCAATAAATCCTATTTATTTAGATTGCGTAATTGCCGCGGATTCTGGATCGTGGCCAGAATATATCTTGATGGCCGAGACGAAGGGATCGAATGCTTGCAGGTACGGTAGAAATGGGGATACGGTACTCAAAACCCGCATCTGGCATCCAGTTTGCGTTTTAAAGGGACAGGGACAGCAAAATTTATCCGAATTTTTGGGCAGACTAGCCGCAATCATCAACTATAAGAATTCAGTAGTGGTGTCTGTCTGTCTGTCCGTCAGAAGCCAACTATAACTCGAAGGGGAAAAGAGGTAGAGCTTAGGTCTCTTCGGATTTGGATAGAGCGTAGTCAGAAACCCCTTAAATGATCAAAAAATTATCAAAAAGTTTTTGTTTAAATAAAAATAATTAACATTGAAAGTGGCGCCTTAATTAAAAGGGTGGGGGCCCTCTCCCCGGGAGGCAGGGGCGTACACGAACCCGATTTTTGGGGGGGCAACTCGAAAATTTTTTGTCGACCTCCCCCCCCGGTCACCACTTTCAAAACATTCTAAAATCGCAGCTATAACAGCGCCGCAGGCCGCAAAAATAAGGAAAAAGCGTTAGAAACGCTCAAATTCAGGTAAAAACATCACAGAAAACGCGCCGCAGGCGAAAATTTTCTATGCACAGTTGACACACTAATGAAAAACAGCACCGCAGGCAAAAAAAAATTTTGGAAAAATAGGTTTCATAGAAGCAAAAACCGTCTTAAAAACAGTAATAAGCAGCGCCGCAGGCAGAAAAATTTTTATTGAAAAAATCATAAGGGTCCCCCTTATGAACTTTTCGGCCTTCGGCCGATTTTGGGGGCGGGCAACTTGTCCCTGTTGCCCCCCCCCTCGTACGCCCCTGCCGGGAGGCCACGCCCCCTTTCCCCGTCCCCGTCCCCAAGCCCTTTCCCGCGCCCAGATCGCTTTTTTCAGTTGTTTTAATACTTTTTAATTATTTTAATGCATTATTTAAATCCTTTAAAGTATCCAAGGCCATCACAAAGGGAGGGGGAGGGAGCGGAAGGGGTAGCCCGAAGTCCAGCCGCTTGCAGCGGCAAAGCCGCTGTAAGCGGCTGGTTCTTTTGGAATTTCTGCTATGCTAATGGGGCTTCTAAACGTCGTTCACGTTATCGTTCTACATTTTTATGCCGTAATCGAATATTTAGAACCGTCCACGTCTTTGCGAGAAGTGCTTCTACCTTCAAAAAGTCAAACTTTAATACTGTTTCTAAGCTATTGAAAAAGGTAGGCAATTGACGAAAAATCAGAAAAATAATTTATCTTTCAGTTGATCTCAAAATATGGTATCCACCCATTGGCCCCGCTGCCTCATCCCGAATTATGCGAACTGACTACGCCTTGATCTTAGTTGCCGTTTTCTAATAAAAATATATCCTCGTTTTCTTTCGATTTTCACACTTAAAAATTCATAAAATTTGTTTTTTGAGGCAATGTAGCAGGGTTCTTGGTGAAAAGCTGCACTGGTTAGATGTTAGACGATTTGGCATGAATCAGAGATTTTTTGGGAATTTCGAATGTATTTTTTGGACAATATTTATTTCTATTTCGCCTTCAATTTCACGGTTATAAATATATGATTCTGAAAAATTGGCATAATGGCCTGAAGATGGAGAACGCTGATTCAGGGGTTGCGAACTTTTTGGGTCGCGTCTTTTCAGAAAAAAAACTGGTTGAATTGGCGTTCCACTGAAATGCATACAAAAACGAATCATTTTCACCCTCGAGTTTTGCATTTTCTTTTCAACTGGATGTAATATAAATTAGAAAACGGGTCTGTTTGACAGTTCTTGCAATGATTCCCAAATTGGGCTATTTTCTTCTAAGTTGCCTGGGTTTTTTGAGCGTCAGCTGGGCTGGTCAAGATTTTCCGCTTCTTTCTCGAGATGTTCGACCGTATTTCTACAATTTGAGTATTGTGGTAAGGTTGCCTAAAGACAACAAAACTTGCCAAATTGGGCAGCAGCCAACACGGTACAAAATTCAAGCTGGACTACAAGCTACAAGGTATTACAAGCTAAATGCAGACTAAAAGTGAGAAACTAAAGCACGTACTACAAAATATGCCAAGCTGGGCTGCAGACTACAAAATCGGTCTAGCTGGCTCATAGTTTACCAGCTAAACACTTGGCTACAGACTACAAAATGGCTCAAGCTGGGCTACAGAGTCCAAAATTTAATAAGTTAGACTACAGGCTACAATAGATTTCTAGGTGGACTACAGACTACAAAACCTGTAAACAAGTGTTCAGGCGGAGCCCGAAAAACGAAACAACACGCCCCTTCTGGCTGGCCAAGTCGATATTCGTATCGTAATCGATTTCCCAACAACCTTTATTGAACTACATGCGGCAGCTGATATGAACATTGAACGCGCTGAAATTGATGGGAAACCGGTAGATGGGTTATGTCTGTATTTATATGGATTTTTTAGGTGTCTCGAATTGTTCGATTACGCCATGAAAGGATCCAATTGCATACCCCTGCAAATATTACCGTATTGCCGAGGGGGAAACATTTGATTACGGTAGGTAATTATTTGGACTACAGTTTGAGGCTATCAGTAAGCATACGTTATTTTTGAAGTGTCCTAAAAAGTTTTCATTGCTTTTAAAAATAGATTTTTGAAAAATTTACAAAAAATCGATTTTTCAAAATGTTGTAAAATTAGTTTTCTGGAATGTTAGTTAAACTCAGCATATTTTAGTGCACTGAAAGATCTTACTAGCATATAGGGACCTTTAAAGTTTACAACAATTTAACTATACAAAGCACGAAATGTGGAAAAAATGTTTTTTGGCTGATTTTTGTAATTTTTTCGAAAGCAAATTCGTTAAAAAATTGTACGTAAAATATCGTAAATTTTTATTCAGATTGGATACAATGTAGAGGAATCGCTTGCGGCTAAAAGCAATTGGGGAACGCCTGGTTTCTATCATCCCAAAGAAATCGGGTCGATTAATGGAGTGAATATCACTCATAATTATGTGTGGACACAAGGAGAAGAATATGGGGCACGACATTATGTACCTTGTTTTGATGATCCGGATAAGAAGGTGCCTTTATAGGATACGGTAACTTGGGAGATCATTTAGGCGAAATGGAAGGTGAAAATCAGCCATCCACCCGAATACACCGCTTTATCAAATGGGAAATCTCTGGAAAAACCATTTTACGGGTAAGCTGTCTGGCAGTTTAAAGTTTTACAACAAAAACGAGAGGCTACAAACTGCAAAAACGGAAAATTTGGTGTTTTAGCGATTTGTCGACCTCGCTGGCTGTGACCGAATTCGAAGCCACGCCCCCAATGTCTTCATATCTTCTCACATTTGCCGTATCGAAGCATAAGAGAGTCACGTTACTTACGAAGGATGGATATCAGGTAGAAACTACAAACCACAACTTGAAAAAGCAGTAAAAAACAGGACTATGACATTTGCGCTTATGATTTCTACACCCTACCGGTTCCTTTAATGCCTTTAATAATTTCAGCTATCTGTTTACGCAATAAATATGACAAAAGCCGAGGAGGAATTGGTATTGCTGAAGGAATGCTTTGAGTATCTCAATTCTGTCCTTCAACCAAAATATCCTCTATCAAAAATCGGTATTTTGCTGCTTGTGGATCGTTTATCGATGAGGATTTTTAGACGTATTCCTTCGTAGTCCAGGTGGATGGGCTATGGAAAATTGGGGATTGATTACGGCTGATTATATGGTGCTTTTTCGATTTTACTTAACCCTCAAAGATTTTAGTTAAAACACATCATGCAGCATGAATTGGCACATCAGGTGGGAGAGACGGGGGAGAGAGAGAGAAAAAGAGAGAGAGAAAAGAATCTTCTCTTTTAGTGGTTCGGCAATCTAGTAACAACTCGAACGTGGTCCCACTATTGGCTAAACGAAGGCTTTGCTACTTGGTGGGAAAACCAAAGAGAAGACACCCCTGTATCGGTATGTTCTTCTTACTGTATGCGTTATAGAGCCTACAACGTGCCGTATACACTATATTTGATACCTTCCAGTTCGTCACTTTCTCAACCAAGTTTTGGATGGAGATATTGGTGATAAAGCTGAGCCAATTGTCGCGGTAATAAATAGAACTAATCTGAAAATCATACTTTCAAAAATTTACATTTTCGCCTTTCCTTTGCTGAAGACAATTTAATTGGGTTTTTTAGAGTGGTGAAAGCGAAGTTGGCAGCACCCTCGTCCGATACCCCAAGGCCAGAATTTGCCTTTTTGCAATATTTTTTCAATTTTTTAGGGAGGATGCCTGCTGCATATGCTTGAAGGATTAGTCGGCAGGCCCAAATTAATCGAAATTATGAATGTAAAACCTTATTTTAATTTTTAATGATGACAATTTAGCAATATTTGTTACGCCACCAATATCAATCCGTGGAAACTATCCAATTTTTCGAGGAATTTGTCGAACATTTCGAGAAAAATACGGATCAGGAAGAACTGAAGAATTTGGATATTGTCGATTGGGGAATACAATGGACATATCAGGTAGATGAGAGGGGCCAACTAGCAGCGATTCTTTCGGAATGCTTTCAGATTTGCAAGCTGTCACACGTAGCCCAAATTGGCTGTTGGCAGGCTAGCGGAAATTTTGGATTGTTTTTTGTCTAAAAATCCGCTATCCGGGATCTACACCAAACTTTACAGGGTGGCCCAAAAAAAACAACAGGTTTGGGCGCGTTTATCTCGAGAACCTTAACGAATTCATGGAGGGTTGATGGCTGAAAACCATTTTCTCGGCCTGGAAAAGAAATTAAACACAACTTGATTTTTTCGATTTTTGGCGACGTATCAATACAAATGACACCCGAAAACTGTGCGTTCGGGGGAACTTCAATTGTATTTTTCTCAGTTTCCTGTGGTGGCTGGCATCTAATTTTTATTAAGTAAGTTAATACAGGCAGCAGATATGTACCTACAAAATTTAAGAATTTTTGAGGGTCTGGTTGAAAAGTTAGAGAGGAATGAAATTTTGTATGGAGAAAGGTTGTAAATTTTTAATATTGGAAAACCTATGGCGAAAACGTCAAAATCAGTTGTTGTGGAATATCTACGGGCTTGACACAATTGCATAAACATATTAAAGAATTTTTTGAGATCGGTGGTTTTTCGAGTTTTTCAACGACCCCCTGGTCATGGATTTGTTTGAGGTCACGAAACCGAACTTTCAAAAAACATTTCTAAGATTGTAAATAGAACCTAGGTGTTTTCTTTGTTTGGTTGTGTAGGACTGGGGTCCATCTATCATGTACACAATTTCTAGCTACCGTACCCCTTTGGAAGGTTGCCTTTTAGCGCTTCCAAAACGGTTGGTTCGTGCTATTTCGCAGACTTTCGTGCCAATCTATAAAATTTAGTTGCGCGCCTAGAATTTTTGCCATAATTTTATTTAATACTGCTTAATGGGCGCACTCTAAAATTATATTTACAAATTTATTGGGCCATGCAATCTCTCAAAAGAAATTCATGGAAAGTCGAAATATACCCGAATTCGAGGCGACGTAAAAAAATTCTCGAAGCTCTAGTAATCCCGACTTTTCTGGCATAGACCAAGCTTGGGTAGTCAATTAGAACTCATGCAAATACAAAACCTTTTCATGGCAAACGAATTTAGAAGAGCTCTCCAGAGTCGGCTTTTCAAAAAACGTTATTTTCGGGTTTTAAATCAAAATCAACCATTAACTTCAGCCAGATCATGCCAGAATTCTGTTCTCATACACAGTTCAATACGTGCTTTAATTGTATCCACGAAAATCCGGTGACTTTTTCATTTTCAAAAATTCGATTTTCGGGGCAGGGCAGGGCCGTAACAAACCCAAATTTCGGGGGCGGGCGACCCCAAAATTTTTCACTAATATGACTAAAACTACAGCGCCGCAGGCAAAATTTTTGAAAACATAGGGTTTCTAACACTAAAACTAGTGTTAAAAACAGCCAAAAACAGCGCCGCAGGCAAAAAATTTTTTGGAAAAATTAAATCATAAGGGTCCCCCCTTATGTACTTTTCGGCCTTCGGCCGATTTCGGGGGGCGGCTCGCCCCCCCCCCCCTCTTACGGGCCTGGGGCAGGGTGTCGGGTCCAAAATCGGGCCCCGAGGAGGGTTTTCTTCTTTCCTTCATAACTTTGTCATTTGCCACAGGAATAAAGTAGTTTTTTGCATGTGTTCTCACAATCACCCGGAGAACAGTCTAGAATCGAAAAATCGGCAATTTATGGCATTTTGTCTTGGCATGCTAAAACGCGCTCCAGGCGGGTTACGGTAGAAAACAGAAAATTGCCGTTTTCTCGTTCTATTCACCATAGAAACCTTGCGATCTTGCTCGAAAACAAATAATAGTAGTTTTCGGCCCATTTCATCAAAATATTTAGAAATTTCCGTGGCTAAATGCAAAAATAAGTTTTTTGCATATTTTGGGAATGTGTATGGCTGGAACTTTGCGATATTTAGCCCATAGGTGGCCCTTATTGGTGTTTACCAATGATAAAATTTTAAGCGAAATCGCAGCTTACAATAAAAAGAAAAACGAGAAAAACCAAAACTACAGTATCCCTCTGGGGCACGTTTTAGCAAGCAATATTAAAATACCATAGAATCAGGTAAAATTTGGTGTTGTGCTAAAGATTATCATTCGGAGAAACCATCTGCAAAAAATCAGCCATGGGCAGCGGACATGAAGCGAGTTGCGAATTAAGAAGTAAAAAGGTGTAAAATGCTGAAATTTGTTTTGCTTGTAAAAAAATAACAAGACCTTCAAAAATTCTAAGATTTTGCCATTACATTTCTACAAATATCAGCTATTTTTAGGCCAAAAACCAGAATTTTCCCACCACTCCTTCAAGAACGCACAATTTTCGGTCGTAACCAGCGTCAATAGTACAGTTGCGTACTCAAAAATCGAAAAAATCAAGTTGTGTTTAATTTCTTTTCCAGGCCGAGAAAATGGTTTTCAGCCATCAACCCTCCATGAATTCATTAAGGTTCTCGAGATAATCGAGCCCAAACCTGTTGTTTTTTTTTGGGCCACCCTGTACACAAAAATAATCAAAACTAGATTTGTACTAACTAAATTTTGGAGGCAGGCTAGCGGAGATCTTTAGCGAATGCCTGGGAAATTCGCTATTTCCTATATTCCTATTTCCTATATATTTCCTCAATCTGTCGTACAAAGTCCATATTTCCAGGCTGGGTATCCGATAATTGATGTGAAAGAGGATGATACGGGCTATATTCTGACCCAACGACCATCAACAAATAAAACAGATGAAACAGGAACTCCCCAGAAATGGGATATCCCTCTTTTCATCCGAAATCCAATGTTATGCTCCAATAAAACGACAATGCCGATCAGGTTCTTCAAAAAAGGTATGAAAAACTGGCTTGATTTAAAGTTTTACAGAGCAAAAATTAAGTCATCTAAAGTTGCTATACTTTTCAATGAGAAAGCCTAATCGGCAGTTTAGAAAAAGCGGAATATCGACTGGAAAAGGCGGAAGTCGGGTCGCCACTAATGCTGAATAATGGATACGGGATGTATCGAGTGAATTATGGAAATAGCAGTCGACAAATCTTGTCAACTGTTCAAAATCCATATGGTGTAAGCCAAAAAAAATTTAAAACACGATATTATTGACTAACTAATGGTCAATGATTTTTAGTGCATTTCCGAGGATGAAAAACTGGTTGTTTTGTATGATTTGAAAAGCGGAAGTGATTTGGCAGTAGCTGAAAAGGCTGGAAAAATGATTGAAGCAGGAAAACCCAAGGGATTACCACAGGTACGATCATTTAAAAAAATTCTATGATTTTTCTAGGAATCCCGGAAGTCTCGACGCTACTGAAAATCAAAAAAAATTGATTTTGCCGTCTTAAAACCATTTTTAAGACTTAATAAAAGGTATTCATCTCGGCTGGCTGACAGCACATTAATTTACCAAGAAAACTTTCAAAGTTTCCCTACGGTATTCGAAAGAAAGCCGCCTTCCCCAAAGACCGGACGCTGATTCATTTTCGCGCCATTGTTCCATTCGAAATTTCTTTTAAAAGCGTCGCTATACAACTTTTAGCACTATAGAAACACCTGAATACTTTATTGAAAGGGTTTTTCAAAAGGGGGGCTTTTCAAATGGTTGGTATAAAATAGAGGCTTCCAAGCGACTCCGCGAAAAGTATAGTAGCCATGGGACGACTACGGTCACTAGCTGTGATTTTCATATTTCCATTCCTATACTGTTATCATGATGAAGAGCCACTTCCCAAGGGATATTATCCAGAACTTTATACTGCCGAAATAACCGTAAGAATAAAAGTAATGTGTTGATATTTGTTGTGCGAAGGTGGATCCAGATTATGATGCTTCTGTAACTGATATGCCCCCTGTACGTCACGCAACAGAACTTAGGAAAGGCCGCTTGCTAAAAGGAACAGTGGCTATGGATATCATCGTTACCGAAGAAATATCGATATTGCAGTTTCATTCTGGCATGAGGGTAGACTTGAATGAAGTGTTGATTGATGGAGAACCCGTTTGTTTAGCTTTTGGTATTAAAAGCAAGCCCTTCTTTAGATAGAGACCGAGAGAGACCATGTGGGTTCGAGGCTAATTATAGACAAAAAATTGGCAAAGGGACCTCATCGGATTGTCGTATGTTGCTATTCACTTTTTATTCCGTTGCTCCAAAGCCAACTAAAGTAAATCCTAGTCAAATTGACAAAAGAAACCGTAATTTCGACATGGCTCTTTTTTGTTTCACCATACTTTCGTCCTTCATCTGACCATACGAGAAATGGTCATTACACACTTTTTCGCCTATAGGACAGAATGTGTTTTCCAGGTGGAATACGAAACGAAGAAATCCGGTGGGTTGTACCGTATGCAGAAAGAAAACAACACGATGAATTCCGTGTACACAAAAGGCGGAGAATTCGGAACCCATCATTATGTGCCATGTTTGAATGATCCTGACCGCAAGGTGACCGCATGTTTTAGCGATTTTTTTTTAATCTTTCTACTCCAAATATTATACGTAGGCGAAATGGAAAGTGTCGATTGAATATCCGCCCGGTTATTTCGCACTATCCAACGGTAAAGTATCGAGCTATTTGACCGGGAGGTTGGTAACAAATAAAAGCCAATATCCTCCTAGTCGTTTCTTCAAAAATGGGGCAAAGACCGAATTCGAATTGACGCCAAAGATGTCGCCCCACCTTTTCACATTTCTCATCACCAAATACCCAAAATTTACGAGGATCGCAAAGACTGGGCAAGAGGTCGGCGATTTGTAGTCTGATCTGCAAAAAAAGGTTGTTTTTAGCTAAACATCTATTCGACGAATCCCTCAAAAGCCGAAGCATTGCTCCAGATGCTAACAGATAGTTTTGATTACCTGGCTGCCATTTTTAAACCGGCTTACCCACTCGCAAAACTAGGTACTTTTTTATGATTACACAAACCCAACGACACAACATGAAATGATGCTCTCATTGCAGATGTTTTTCTTGAGCCGAGTATTGGGTGGGCAATGGAGCATTGGGGATTGATTGTCTATGGCGGCAATCCGGTTTGTATTCCATAAAATACACTGTCGTTAGAAACATTACGCGAAAATGCCCCTTTCAGGATCGATCAATAATGCAACATCTAGTGGCGCATCAGGTTTTGTTCGTTTTCAGAAGTTGTAACCGCATTCAAACAATTAGTGGTTTGGGAATTTGGTGTCTCCATCAGCTTGGAAACATGCGTGGTTGAGTGAGGGATTCGCGACATATTGGGAGAAACAAGTCGCAAAACAGGCCCCAGCAACGGTTCGTGCTACTTTTTGGAACAATTTTTGAACGGGGGGGCTACGCGAAACGCTGTTTTGCCCGATTTCTGTGTGAAAACGCTATGATCCGGAGATTTCGAGATCAGTTCTGAACTCTTCGTTCAATTTTGAATACTTTGGATATTTTAATCATCGAGTTTGGCCTAGGAATAGCCGAGATCGTGTTTTTGCGGTGACCACAGGCAATTTGAAATTTCTGAGCTGCCCGCGCTTTCGGTGTGCAGAGGCCGTCGACGGACGGGTTTCGGGTTGTCGGGTCTTGAAATCCTCAGATATGAATTGTTTAGTTTGAACGTGAGCTGAATATCGTGATTGACAATGACCGTGGACTTGAACCAATGGTATTGGAGCCATTCGTAACTGAGGTTGTACTCAGACGCAATCCTTGGCTGCGATACGAGAAAGTATGCTTTTATATAATAACTAACAATGAAACTGCCGATTAGGGGGCATGCCTTTTGAAAATGATTGAGGGAATGATAGGACAACAGCCATTGATTGATGCTATGAATGTGAGAGGATCTGTCACAAATCATTGCCCATTATAATTCCAGAAATACCTCGAAAAGTATCAATATGAAGCCGTCGAAACGAGTCTATTCTTTGATGAGCTACTGCCGGCTTTTGATAAAATCAAGGATAAAATGGATGGGATAAGCATTCAAGAGCTTGGAAAACAATGGACCACGCAGGTATTCGCCCCTTTTTCACAATTCAACTAACCAAAATACAAGTCAATTCTTTCAGCCGGGAATCCCGACCATCAACGTGAGAAAGGGAAACGGCTCTTTTGTCCTAACCCAAAGCTCTTATTACAAAAGCACTACAAAATGGGATATACCGATATTCTTGTATGATCCGCATTTGTGCACCGGTCCGGGAACGAACGAAACGGTCACCTTCCAATTCTTCAAAAAAGGTTCGTTGGTTGATGCCCCTATCCTAGAAGCGAGAAAGGCATGTGTGTTTTCTGTAACGATTATTTCTCGGCCGTCAGACCAAATTTCGGGCTGATATTTAGCATTGAGGTCGAGAAACACATCCACTTTATAAAAAATTTTTTGTTTTTCCAAAAGTCCATCATTTTACGATATTACAAACAAAATAGCGAACAACCCCTGTCCCTTTTGGCCGAAAAAAGTTTTGTGCAAAGGGTATCTCGCGATCCAAATGAAATGGTTTCTAGATTGGCTTAGTGAAAATGGGCCGCGAAACGGTCGTTTTCCACTAGTCATTTTTATATTTATATCGGCTGTTTGACAGAAATGACAGAACTTCACGTCGCAACCGGTGCGGGGTATTTAATGAATCTAAATGCTGATTATGGGTTGTATCGAGTGGATTATGGAGATATGGCCGATGAAATGATGACATATCTCGAAACGAGACACAACTATCCTATCCTATAAGCGAGAAAAGTATGTTTGTTTTCTGTACGGCCGTTTTCTCGGCCGTCAGGCCGAATTTCGAGCTGATTTTTGGCATGGGGGTGGGAAATGCTATTTATAAAAAACGGTTTTTTGGATTTTTTGAAATTCTTCCATTTAACGGTTTTACAAGCAAAAATGTGAAAAATCCTTAACATTTTTGGGTGCGAACGTTGTCCGGAACTTTTCTCGGCCCCTAGAGGGAACTGGGGCCTCATTTTTGGAGGGTAGATGGGCAAAGTAATTCTCCAGATACATTTTTTCGGATTTTACAAAATTTTTTTAAATAAAGTTTTTATAAGAATTTTTCTGAAAGGTCCTTAATAAATTGCGTCTCGGGCCGTGGTGTCCGGGCCATAACTCGAAGCCCTGATGGAATTCCAGGCTGAAATTTGGACCGTTTATGCAATCAAGGGTGGGGATCACGCGCATCTTATTATCTTTACAAACTTTTTACAGGTTCAGACCAAAAAAAATAATTTTGTAAAGTGATCTGAAGGCCTCCCTCCGGGATCATTGGTCACCCTTATCTTTGGCCCCACCCCTCCCAGGACGGAAGAGGCCTTTCCCGCCGTCTCTACCCGTGTGCCCCTTGGGGTAGTGGATTAGCGCTTGGTCTACCACGCGCAAGGTCGCGGGTTCGGATCCTGGCAGAATTTCATGTTTTGCTTTTTGGTTGTTCGGCAACAAAACATATTTCTAGGCTCTCGGTGTGCTAGGTTTAGGTCTGGCCCTCGCTCTCGCGCCGCAGGCCAATCATTGGTGCTCGACCCGGGCTCTAGCGCCGCAGGCCAGATCCTGGAGGAAAACCAGTAACTAGCGCCGCAGGCTCAAAGATTCTAGCGCAACGCTGGCTCTGGCGCCTCAGGCTAAAAAAAGATCTCCCCTTTGATGTAGCGGATCAGGGCCGGGGCTGTGGCGTTGAGGGTCGCGGGTTCGGACCCGCGAGAAATTTAGGTTTTTGCTTTTTGGTAGTTCAGCAACTAAACCCATTTCTAGGATCACCGTGTGCGCGATTTAGGCCTGACTCTCGCTCTAGCGCCGCAGGCCAAAGGAAAGGTATTTGATCTAGGCTGTTGTGCCGCAGGCCACATCCGGGAGAAAAACCAGTAACTAGCGCCGCAGGCAAAAGGATTCTAGCGCGAGGTTTAGGCCTGGCCTTCGCTCTAGCGCCGCAGGCCTAAGAAAAGGCCCTTGGTCCAGGCTCTCGCGCCGCAGGCCAAAGAACAGATCCTTGGCTCGTGCTCTCGCGCCGCAAGCAAGATCCTGGAGAAAAACCAGTAACCATTCTAGCGGCAAGCTGGCTCTCCTTGACTCAGGTTCAAGCGCCGCAGGCTAAAAAAAAAGAAGGTATTCAAATTCATGGTTCCGGGACTGGGTCCAGTGGAAATGGCCGCGAAGCGGTCTTTTTCCACTGGTCCAGTTAATAATCCATGTTATCATTAACAACAAGAATATCTAGTGTCCACCGGCACACAGGGCACGACATCTATTATCGGATCTGAAACGAGATAGAAATGAAACAATCGTAAAGAGGGCACTCGATCTACTCAACAACAAACATAAGGAATTCCAGGTGACGAGCATCCTTAGAAATTGACCTAAAAAGCCAACATTTCAAGCGGCAAACCCTGAGGAACACCTCTTATTTTCAGGATTCATTGGTGAAGCCCTTCTTTCGACGTTAGATGCCAAAGCATCATTGTCTTCAGTTTTGTATGCCTAAAACAAACCAGCCATTAGCTTTTAAAGCTTCAAATCCATTTTCTAAAACAAATAAAACTCGATAAATATGTTTATTCCTTTCATCGTTTCATCGTTATATCACAGAGCATTTGTTGGGAGGGGCGGGTGCAGAGACATAGAGAGAAAGAAAGAAAGAACAAGGAGAAAGAACTCGGGTAGATCTCAAATTTTCTAAAAATCGTGAATTTTTGCTAGAAGGGGGGGTGAATAAATTAGCGGAAAAAGCGCTACAAATACAAGAAAAAAGAATCACGTGGATGGGGCACCCGTAGCCATGCGGTCGTCTAACAATTCTTACACCAAATTATGTGTCGTAATGGATTAGCTGAGGGAATTGGGGGAAAGAGAAAGAGATAAAAAGTTTAGTAGTGAGAAAATGGGGATGTGGGAGCGCATGAGAGAGAGCATCAAAATAGAGAGAAACGAGAGAAACCGAGGGAGAAAATGAGCTACAATTTGGCCAGCCATCAGACAAAATCAGTGTGAAAAGGCATTCAGATATGTGGGAATTAGTAAAAGGCACTTTTAATCATCAATATTCTAATGTTTGTATTGCACAAAAAGAGGTAGGGAGAGCTAGCAGAGAAAATTGGGGAAAAGGGGCCAGCTAGCAGAGAGAATTAGCGGAATCAAGCAAAAGAGGGTGCATTCTTGTAGTGAAGATAATTGGGATAGGTATCTTCTTGTTGTAACATCATATATCCCCAAAGAGAAGGTTCTCTTCTCATTCCCCTCGAAGAGAGAGGAGAAGAAGAATGATGTCGATTCCAGATGAAGAAGAAATAGATGATGGCACCCACACAGGCACAGATGAATAGCATCTCCGCTGGCGGGATCCACCTGAAAAAAGAAGCGCATTAAAAATACAAAAATATGCATACCTCAACCTACCTATAAAACCTCAAATTCCGTTAAAAAACAACAGAAAATACATATCGTGTTTAAAATACCATAAAATTTCTCAAAACTCCTTAAAATACCTAAAAACTTAGAAAAACACGACAAATTTGCCTAGAAATTCGTCAAACATTCAAAAAGCAAATTTCCAAAGCTTTAACCAATCTTTCAAGTCTAAAATAGATCCTCAAGTCTTTTGGAAATGTCTAAAAACGCGTAACGTATAAAATAAACTTTTCTGAAGCGTTAAAATGCCCTAAAAATTGGCAAAAAACTCATTGAAAACAACAAAATTCAACATTTAAAATAATTTAAATACGCTAAACACTAAATCCCTTATTTGAGAAAATTATAAGCAAAAACTTAAAACCGACCATGCTGAATGCGAGGATGGCGCCGCCTTTCCAGCAATCTTGGCCTGAGTGTCGCGCAGTGGGAAGTATCTGGAAAAAATTTGATTAAAATCGATCGATAAAACGGGTTTTCAACGTGCAGGGCCCAAAATCGATTTTCAAACGTGCTATTACATTACTAGTAATCTTCAGTGTAATGGCGAAAAATACGGCACGTGGCATTACTAGGAAAATCGATAAAACAGAAATAAATCAATTTTAAAAAAAGGGCAGTCCGATAGCCAACAAAATCCATATCTTTTTCCGCCTTGTCAATCCCTTTAAAAACCAATTCCTCACCTCATATGGTAGATCATTGCCCCGAGAGCCCATTGCACTTCTTGCCCATCCACTTGCAGCACCGATTGGAATCTGAAAATAACAAAAGTTAATATTTGCAAAAAGGTATTTAATTTTACTTTAAATAATTTTTAAAATTCATAATTTATCAAATTCAAAATCCAACGATAATCTCCAAAAATATTAGCACCGAATGCATCTAGAAATGCCAAAGTTAAATTTAAAAAAAAATTAAAATCTAAAAATGACGATTTTTTCGATCTAAAAATCAAGAATACTATTAAAATACTCACTTATTCTGATCCCTCTCAAAATCGAATCCAGCGTGCAAAACAGCTGTAATCCATGCACTCTTGAAGCATTGTGTCCTCAATCTCTGTTCATCAGCCTTTGGATAGAGAAGGCGAGTCGCTTGAGACTATAACATAATAATAATAATACAATCAATTACGGCATGAAAAGGTATAGATGATACCTTAATAGAGCTCCACTTTTGATTGCAGAATTGTCGACTCTTCTCTCGGACCATTGTATAATTGTAGGTACCACCCAGCTTCAGCACTTCTTCCACAGAGAACCAGAATTCCGAGAATCCGAAGAATTGCATGTCTAAAAACTTAAATTAATAATTTTTTGATGTTAATTGACTTCAAAATTAAAATGAAATTATTTTAATAGCCTTTCAAATGAATTTTAACCCTATTCAAAGTGAAAACTCCATCTCATAAAACAAGTAGAAAAATCGATTAAAATTTTGATCAGAAAATCGGAAAAAGGGGCCGTTTTGTCGAAAAATCGAAAAATTGATAATTAAATAGTTTTAACGAGCGTTTTAACAAAAAATGAAGCATATTTAAGTCGTAAAACGGTTTTTAAAACTTCGAAAAAATGTAAAAAAAGCCCAAATTGGGCCGAAACGCGGTAAATTATGACGAAAAATCGATGTTTCCATTCTTGAGACTGAAAATTTGTCACAATTTTTACCAGACTTGTCAAAAAAATTACCAGATAATTTGATATCCGGCGCGGCGACATTCCCAAAATAACAGCTTGGCAGGCAATTGGGGGCGGATCCGGGGTCAATCAACGATGACAGCTTCTCCACACAGCTCTCCCAATCGCCCGTTCCCTAAATAATGACTTCAATACCGTAATTTGGTGCGTAACGTACTCTTCTGGTGAATTGATTCCCATCCATTCCTTTGGCCATTTCGACAAGATTTGTTGGCAAGCATTCATCTCTCACGTATGAGCCATTCACCTCGGACATCTCTTTGTACAGATCTTGCTCGTATCTGAAAATAAAGACTACAATTCAGACTACAAACTCCAAAAATTGCTGATTTGATTAAATAAATACTGGTTAAAATTGGAACGTCAAAGAAAAACAAAACCTAGAATTTAAAGGGCTAGTTCAACTTTTAGAGCTTGCGCTGGTACCTTGGGAAACTATGGACGTGGCCATACCGCCCCTGAACAGTCCCTCATTACGACAGCGATTAGATAGCGGGGAAATTAGAGAGGCGCAGACACAAAAAACGCGGAGATGGTTCGACTCCTGGCCGCGGAAATTCTTTTACTTTATTCGGTGAACTAGCCCTTTAAACTAGAAAAATACATCATATAAAAACTACCAACTACAAAATTACAGACTACAGCCTCCAAAACCCACTTTCTCAACCCCTCATTGACGCCATAGCCCAAGAAGGTAGTGACGAATAGTTTGTACTTGAAGAGAGGACTCTCGTCTCGACATCCAAGATTTACCTAAAATACGAAAAATAAAAAATAAATCGATGATTCCTTACATTTTCGACATTTTCGGTTAAGAAGTTCGTCGATTGGGGTAGCTCGAACGCGATTTGGGCTGATGCGCCACCCATGTCAATCTGAAATTGAACTTATAAGAGCTATTTTCGGGATTGTACCATTCCAACGGTGTCCTTTCGGTTGATCGTTGGTTCACCGCCCTTTGGGAAGTCGGGCTTGTCCATGGGTGGGTTGAAACGGCCTAAAAAGTTTTATTAAATGAATATAACATTATTTTAATTTCGTTTTTAGCTATAAAACCTTCTAAACATCAAATTATTGTCACAAACTACTAAAATAACCTTACAAAATCATCTTAGAACTTTTTTAGCTCCGAAGAATCGCATTAAACGCCTGAGAAACAGTTTTCAGAACTCACATCTTGCTTTCAAAAAAGCCAAGATTGTTGTTAAACGCCTAAAAATAACGGGATATAACTATTTTCGAAAGCTTTATGCGTATAGAAACAAAAAAAAAATAGATTTTCACGGCTCAGAAAATCGCATTAATCTTTTTTTAGAACGCAAAAAACCCGAATAATTCGGTTAAAAATTGAATTTGAACTATTTTTAGAAACTTTTAGGTAGAACATCATTTATAGCAAGTAGCAAGGTGTTTAAAAATTACCAAGAATGTAATTGGCAGCGATCCAACTGTAGATACCCTCCCATTTGCCCTCGATCACCCGGATGTGCTCTTTCATTATCTAGAAACAATTTTATACAGCTTTTACAGCTCTATAAATACCTGCATGACAGTCATTTGTGGGAGCTTGGTGTGCAGATCCTCCAGAATCGCCTTTTGCTGTCTAAAAACATATAAACCTTGAAAAGCACTAAAAACTCACAAATCCGGGACGAGCCTCATTCCAGCGGTGGCAAAGATGAATACGGGGGTGTAGGGCCTTTTCTCTTCGGGGATAAACTCGACAGCGTAGTCCATCAGTGGCTTGATGTATTCTGAAAGGAAAAATAGGAAAAAGAATAGAGATTTATACCGGCGGCATCGTGAGGGTGATCGGCAAATGTTGAGAGGCCGGGGTACACCTGTAAAAGTGGAATTTTAAGGTTTAAAAAGCTAAATAAGACTTTAAAACTAGCAAAACAGGATCTATTAGCTTTCAAAAGCTATTTCTACAAAGTTTTAGTCCGTTAAAATGACCAAAAACGATAAAAATCGTTCAAACAACGAAAATAACGCTATCTTGCGAGTTTTAAACGTTCTAGGAAGTTTCAGCAAGCTGATTTTACAAATTTTGGGTTTGAAATCGCTAGAAAAAAGCTCAAAAATGCCAAAACAAGCTAATAAAGCTGTAAAACTACTAAAAGATATTCTACCAGTTTTCTGAAAGCTATTTTTGCGCATTTCAGGCCGTAAATAGGTCAAAAACTATGAAGAAACGTGAAAACTACAGAAACAGCTCGATTTTCAAGTGTATAGCCGTAAAAACTCACCTTCTTAACAACAGGCAGCTCGTGATGATCAAGCGCCGGGTTAATATCGATGAGCCTCGTATCAGAAGAAGATGTCCAAGTATAGAGAAACATTCGAGTACCCGTTGAGCCCGCATCAAGGATTAGACCGTACGAGAGATCGGCTGCATCGCCTAAAAAGTCAGAAAATAGATCGGTAAAGACTGAAGCTCATTTTTCGACTAAAATATGGCAAAATCCCTAATAAACCCCGCCATTTCTAACAATAAGGCTACAAAAATACTCAAAAATGGTACACTGTGTAGAAATTGAGCTTTTTTAATCAATTCCAAACGATAATTCTCTATTTTCGATTAAGACATTAAAACCCTCACCTCTAGCCGGAAAAAGTGGTCCATGATCGGAATGTCTCAATAGAAGATATAGTGGAATAGAGAAAGAGACGGCAAGGAGAATGATGGCCAATCTGAGACTCATTCGAACCATCGTGCTCATCTCCCACATCGCATTTTCTGAAAAAGTTATATCGAGGGTCTGGAGTACGAACGACACCAATGGACACCGGAATGTGCAGCGGAGCAAACGTACACAGTCAAATAAAAACCCAAAATCGAGTTAACGTCTAAAACACCATTTCCTACCCATAAAATTAAAAATAAAAAGTTTAGATTCGTAAGCTGACTGGCAACTGATATTTTAACAAGGTTAAACCGATTTTTTTTACCAATCTGACCCAGTGGAATCGGATTTAGAAACATGAAAACCAGGTTATCAACTTGAGAACATAGATAAACCCGAAAAACCTTTTCCAACCCTTAACTGGCAAGCAATTTAGCTAATCGAAAAGGCTGGATACCTTTCGGCTCACCCATAACCAATTAATAGCGTGGAAAGCGGACTGGCATTAGTTGGCGGAAGAGAGAGACGCAGACAACGGACGAATCGTGGTTCTAGCGAGAGAGTGCGGAAATAGAGAGGGAATGGACGGATGGGTGGAACGGGTGGGAGACAGAAGGGAGGGAGAGAGGGGAAAAGCGGATGTAGATACGGATTGGTGGACAGAGAGATACAGACCGACAGATAGACAACTAGAGACAGGCATTTAGAGAATCAGACAGATAGATAAATTGGCAGACAGACAAACCAACTATCCACGACGACATCCACCCATCCAGCCATTTCCCTCCGTAAAAAGCGACAGATCGATAGGATTGAAGACAGACAGACACTGCCATCCTCTACCATAGATTTTACGCGAGATATTGTACCGGCCGACCGGGGGGTTGAGAATGACGCAAAAGCGTGGGAGTATTCGCTTTTCCTCTTCGCTTTTCGACTGGCAAAGCAGCCAGAAAACCCTGATAAAAATCCAATAAAATCGACCTGTTTTTACGGTAAAATGGGCGTTGCTCGTTAAAAAACGTCAGAACAGTAAAAAATTAGCCCTGAAATTTTGTAAATAATTAAACTGGATTGAGATAAACTTTATTAGCTTTATAAACTTGTAAAAAATCAGTCTAGTGGCACTTGACGCATAAAACGTTTCGATGCCTCATTTCCGAGCGATTTGACGTCGGCCAGGAATTGCTCGAGTTGAGGGCGAGCCTGAAAATCGTTTTGAAAGGATTTAGCTTTCTAGATCGATTTTATATAGTTAATTGGCTAAACTGACAGTCAGTTAAAATATAGAAACATTTTTTAGCCGACCTCTTGATGCCTCCGTTCAGCCAGCGCCACACATCGTCGAATCTCGAACACGCTATGGCCTGTCGACGCATCTTCATTCGTCAGGGACTAGAAATTTGAATTTCTCTAAGCTTTAGTACAATCTGGATAGTAATAAACCTCATTCCAAAGTTGTATGAAGCTCGCTCATCTGTCCGAAATCCCGAATTCACTCCGCTTTCCTACCTTGCCAATCTTTTTGGCGGCTTCAAGGGCTTCTGGCCCGAGTCCCTTCATCAACTCGTTCAGCCTTTTCTCGAGTATCCCCTTTTCTTCCCTTATTTCTTCCGTCCATTTATTGTAAGCTGTCTAAAACTCTAGATTTTTATTACGTTTTTGAGGTTACGGTCAAGGCCGGGCAGTTTCTTGACGCCACAAAAAGCTCCATTTTCTCAACGGATCCACGAACGGACAGTGTTTCGATGTCATCTTCGGAAAATGCTTCTTGGTATGCTAGGAGATGCTCTTCTGGAGCCTAAAAAACGTAAACCGATCATATAGCCAAAACTTAAAAATAAATTGGATTGAGCTTTTTCAAAAACCAGTTTTTGGACCAATCAAAAAAACGAAATCCTCAATTTTTCGCGTTTTCTGGATGCTAACTTCTAAAAGCTGCTTTGTGACCCAATTTATCCAATTTTAAGAAATTGACCTCAACAAGAAAACTCGGCAACAGTACAGTATCGTCCTCCGAATCAGCCATCGCCAATGCTATTGCCACCAGCATTTTTGTGGCAAATCAATTCTGAGATTTCCGGGGCAATAGATAGAGACTGTTTTAAACGACTGATCGACAAACTGACTGCCTGGCTATCGCCGTGTTCACTTTTCGTCCGTCCTTTCCTTTCCCTGTAAGCACTTTTTGTGGAGTCGTTCCGGGGCCATCCAGGGTGACCCCCATGTGATCCGATAGTCCTTTTTTTGGAGAGGGCATCCAGCTGACCGATCAAAAATTGTTTTGTGATCAGGGTAACTGGGTAGTAGAGATTTTTTGCAGAGTGTATCTCGCAAGCTGGCGCACATAGCATCTTTTAAAAGGAAAATCGAGCCCCGTATCAAGTCACGCTAGGCTACGCTCCGATACGGTAAAAACTCAATCCCGGTATTTGTCATTTTTAGCTTTCAAAATCTGTTTGTTAGAGCCTTTTTTTGGTGATTGGCAATTTAAACGTCTGAATCAGCCAAAATCATGTTTCTTAATAGGCACGTCAATTGTATTCAACAGTTGTAATCCGGAAAGCTTTTATTTTTAGCTTTCAGAATATTTTCATTAGGGTCCTTTCCAGTCAGTTTTAACAAAGCAAACACCTACTTAATCCAACTGTGTGTTTTTAGAAAAATGCAATAGGCTCCGAGAGTACGGTAAAAACTCAATCCTCGTTTTTGTCGTTTTTAGCTTCCAAAATCTTTTCGTTAGGTCACTTTCTAGTCAGATCCTATCCTATAAGCGAGAAAAGTATGTTTGTTTTCTGTACGGCCGTTTTCTCGGCCGTCAGGCCGAATTTCGAGCTGATTTTTGGCATGGAGGTGGGAAATGCCATTTATAAAAAACGGTTTTTTGGATTTTTCGAAATTCTTTGATTTAACGATTTTATAAAAAAAATGTGAAAAATCCTTAACATTTTTGGGTGCGCACGTTGTCCGGAACTTTTCTCGGTGCCTAGAGGGAATTGGGGCCTCATTTTTGGAGGGTAGATGGGAAAAGGAATTCCCCAGATACATTTTTTCGGATTTTGCAAAAAACTTTAAGATAAAGTTTTTATAAGGATTTTTCTGCAAGGTCCTTAATAAATCGCGGAACGGGCCGTGGTGTCCGGGCCATAACTCGACGCCCTGATGGAATTCCGGGCTGAAATTTGGACCGTTTATGCAATCAAGGGTGGGGATCACGCGCATCGATTATCTTTGCAAATTTTCGACAGGTTCAGGCTCAAAAATCGAATTTTGTCAAGTGACCAGAAGGCCTCCCTCCGGGTCCTTGGTCATCCTTAGCTTTGCACAGGCCTCCCCAAGACTGAAGAGGCCTTTCCCGCATCCCCTTCCGGTGTGCCCCTTGGTGTAATGGATTAGCGCGCGGTCTCCCACGTGCAGTGTCGTGAGTTCGGATCCCGGGACGATTTAATTTTTTGCTTTTTGGTAGTTCGGCAACAAAACATATTTCTAGGCTCTCGCTGTGCGAGGTTTAGGCCTGGCTCTCGCTCTAGCGCCGCAGGCCAAAGAAAAGGTCCCTGGCTCGGGCTCTCGCGCCGCAGGCCAAATCCTGGCAAAAAACCAGTAACTAGCGCCGCAGGCTCACAGATCCTGGCGGAACGCTGGCTCTGGCGCCGCAGGCCAAAGAATGGCTCCTTGACCTAGGCTCTAGCGCCGCAGGCTAAAAAACGAAGGTGTTCAAATTCATGGTTCCTGGACGGGGTCCAGTGGAAAATGGCCGCGAAGCGGTCTTTTTCCACTGGTTTCATAATACAACAACCTCCGTCATCGCTAAATACAATTCGGACGCTAATTTCCCGTGTGTCTTTTCGGGGGGCCACAAGTGCCAATCAAAAAGTGTCCCTGTTGGGGGAAGCCGAAGGCCCTCCAGCCAAAAACACCGGTTTCTATAGCGACTTGGCCCAACTGATCTACCCGTTCGACTAGTTGGCCAACAGCTTCACCTGCTCTGTATTGACTGGACTATTCTACTGTAGACAGCTGCAAAATGACGGCCATGCCTCAGTCAGGTACCGTATCTCTCGTGCTCCTATTGGTTACTGTGTCCCGTTTATAGGAAAGAAGGACTTCAGCAACAATCCGATGAGCAAGGAGAATATGAGCAGGAGGTGTTGATTTGGGGTTTTAAAGGGAGCAGGAAGTTTAAATGATTTTCTGGTTTGTATTAGGTTGATTTGGCTTACGGGAAGCCGGGTAAGACAAAAACTCAATCCTCGAGATCACTCGGGTTGAGCTCAGCTCGTGCTCAAACCCAAAGCCGGCCTCCAGTAAGCCTGTTTTTCGAGCGGATTGAGTCGGAACTTCGAATATCGCTAATCTGGATGCCAAAGAATGAGTGAGACGAAAAACTCAATCCTCGAGATCAGTCGTGATCACTGCTGCTTGTGCTCAAATTGAAAGGTCAGACTCCAGGTCGCTCAGCTTTGAAGCGGATTGAGCCGCAACTCAGAGGATCGGCATTCAGGATCGCAATGACCGGACCTAACTTGCGGACTTTCTATTCGGAAGGAAAGGTGGACTTGGACCCCCGAAATATTCAATCCTACAAACTACACCCCATTAATGTGTTAATGCTATCAAACGACTACATGATGGTCAGAAAACGTAATTTTCGGCATGATTCTACTTGGAAGCACTAATAACTTGCAAGGATTTGCGGGATTCATTACGAGGAACGGCTGCTTTCTGCTCTCTGTTCAAAACATTTTGACTCATGCTTATTCCCCAACTTGCTGCAGATCATCTTGATTGGAACGGCTTTCCCCCAACTGGAGACAGGAGTGACTCGTACTACTTCGCCCAAATTCCATTGGCTTGCAGAGTAACCGTCCCCTTCGAAATGACCTTCCCTTTAAATGGTCTTTCTCCTCATCCTCCTCCTCATGCTCCTCTTTTCCCTCGATACCCAATCCAGTCCACTTGTCTATCAGCTCATTATCGACCTTCCTTCTTTCCTCCATGCCTCCCCTTCCCTCTTTTTTGTCAGATCTCGCCGGGGGTGGGGCTAAAATAACATTTTAGTCCCCCTTAATGGCCATTCAAAATTTTATTGTGTTTTTGAAAGGTTCGGAGCAAAGGCTAGTCCATTAATTGGCAAACGACCGTCCTCTGCTAAAAGCTACATTGTGATTTGGCGTCTCTTTCGTCAACTTGCGCTGTCTCGGAATGGCTTTTGCGCCCAGGTTGCAGTTTACCGTAAAAAACTCAATCCATCATCCTGATTAGAAACTCTTAGAAAGCTATTGTAAGACCAGCGCCCAAAACCCGCTTCGCGGGCCTTGGGCGCTGGAATGCGGCCTTTGCCTGAAAAATTTGACTTCCCGATAGCTCGGGTCCTTCGGACCCCTTCCCCCCACCGGCCACACATGCGAGTGCAACTGGCAAAAATGAGGAAATTTGTATTTTTCCGCATTATGCAAATTAGCCCTCAGGGACCCCTAAAAATGAATAAAACCGGCTTTAACTTTGTAAACTTGTATTTTATCGAAATTCTGACAACGCCATCGGAAAGAGGAGGGTCGATTCCTCCGGGTGACGGAGAATTAGGGCATTTTATGCACGGGAAGGCCCTCAAATCGGGCCTCGAAAGTGACATCCACACACACACAAAGAAACGCGACCAAATTATATAAGGTAGGATATTTATTAGTGGTCACTTAAGGTTAAAAAGAGAATAATATCTCTCATTACTCGAAAATACAGTACTTTCGGCGCTTACAAACTGCCAGGAAACTCTAGCTGCTGTGAAAAACTCAATCCTTCCGTTTCGTATAATTTCTTGAAATTTTCTCACCATTTGCTTCATTTAATGACAGATTATCGAAAGCAAGCAATATTTTGGCTGAATCGATAATTAGAAAGAATTTTTTGAGGTTTTTGCTCTATCGTACCCTCCCAACCCAAACTGACCACGTATCCGGTTGTTAGCCTCTGAATAGAACTGTGAAATGCCTCTCCCTCTCTTCTGACATTCAGGGACGAGGATTTCACTTTCCGTTTGTGGCTATTCGAACAGGGCCGGAGGGTGTGAGTAGGCAAATATCGACCGTCTCCATCGGCCATTCCACCAACCATCCATCTACGATCGGGTGGGGTGGCTACCATTTCCGAGATTCCATTTGGTCGATGCATTTCCGGTCATGTTTTTCTCGCTTTTTGGCAGTCAGTAAAATTCTTGATCGACAAGTTAGTGGTCTACTGAATCTACAACAGCCTGCCCGCATCATTTTCGAATCCAATATTTCGCTTTTTGCTACTTTGTATTCCACTCCAAATTCCACGTTTTGAGAACTTTTTCTTTGCCGCAAAATGATAAATGTTGTGGAAAGCTTAAATTATAGTTTTTAACTAAATTGAAAACGTTTAGAAAGCTTAATTCCGGAATTTCCATTTCTAGTTTTTTTTGTCCGACAATTTCTTGAGTGAAGTACATCAATTTGGGTTAGATAACTTAATATTCGTTAAAAACCTCGAAAACACTCTTTTTGACGACCAGTACGGCTAAGTTTAATTTAAAAAATGAAATTAATCTCGAACTGCAGGATTGAGTTTTTAATTTTTTCCTCATTTCGCCCAAATTCGATCCCATGCTCATCTAGCTTTTCCCCGCTTCCCCGAATAGATTATAGTTTTATCCCATAAACTGACTCACAACGATTAGCATTTTAAACTTCCCGTGCCCCAGTTCGAGTGGTTGATGCCCAATTGAGCCGTTCCATCAATCCAACCCAAGCGGGGTGTAGAGGTAGAGGCATGCCTAGGCTATAACGAGGTAAAGTGGACCTGCTCCCCCTCCCCTCCAATGCCATCCAATTTTGGTTGTCCGACCGATACGACACGGTTCATGTCGCATAAATCTCCCTTTTTCACTACACGTGCCATAATCGTAAATATTTTCGGTAATTAGGGGCCTATTTTGGCCGATTTCCAGCCGGTACACAACTTTTCACCTGCCTTCTCCGTTTTGGTCGGAAGCCATACTTCCGAAGCGGGTTTTGTATAGAATTGGCTTTCCTGGCCGCCGCTTCATAAATTTCCGGAGTGATTTGAAAGTTATTTGTTTTTTAAGTTTTTTTGGAGGCTAGCATCTCGACTTTTTATGAGATTTTTCGACTTTTTTGGCTTCCACTTCAGCGGATTTTGGCGAGAAGCCGTATTTCTGAGGCTGTTTTGTATCGGAATCACTTGTCTGACATCCGCTTCATCTTTTCACCAGGGATTTTGAAGCATTTTCATCTATAAATTTTTAGACACTAAAATTTTCCGACTTGTCAGCCTAATTTCAAATTTCCGGCTTCCAGGTTAGCTATAAAAATTGCCATTTCGTTTCCTGTCCCCCAGAGCCACAAAAAATAACTGGGGACTGGCTGGGTGGACACACAAGCCACCGACAAGCTTCAGCTGCTGACTAGCGGCTATTGTTTGCCCCTTTTTCCGCTTCTTTGCTGACTCGACTGACCACTAGCCACCAAAAGGAGAATTCTCTCGGGTTACACCACTACCTCAAAAAAAGGGACACGCTTTAGTCAGGGGAAAGAGGCGTGAAAAGTCGCGACACACGCGTGATTAGGCGTGGAGGGGACTGTTTTGGTAAATAGGGTCTGACGGGGCGAAATTTAGTTATCGGCGGGCTAGGGTAAGGGCCATTAATGCGTTGCCCGGCAGAATATTGATAAAAATATTTTGACATCCATTTTCTAGCATTTCTTTGTAAAAGCAAGGTTTTTCGAAGTATTTAAGGGCACCGTAAGGGGGAAGACACAGATCTGTCATTAGTGCGCGTACGTAGTCTCCCGGAGCCTAGCCCTTATCGATCTGCTAGACGGGACCCAAGCAACACGAAAATTATATTTTCTGTTTTCTACAGTACTTTTTCAAGGATTGAGTTTTTGTAACAGCCCATGTCCAGAAGCCATAAATCTGCGATTAGTGCGCGTACCTGGTGCTCCTGAGCAGTAAACCTTCTCGATTCCCTTCTAGCTGGGACCCAACCTCACCAAAAATCATATTTTCCGTTAGTTACAGTTATTTTTCAAAGATTGAGTTTTTGTACCCACACGTGGTAGCGGCCAAGGGGTTACGGTAGCCCCTTCAAGATGCCACCTGAAAATCTAGAGACACCATTGGTGCATGCCAGCTGACTCATACGTGTCCGGTTCCGGATGCGGTCCATTCCCTTCTAGCCTTTTTCTCTCCCCCTCTTCCCCTTTATTTATTTTCCTCGCGTCGGGACCCAGGCTGATTCCGCGCGGACATGGTCCCGAGCCTCCGGGGTCCTTTGTCTTCCCCGAGAGAGACCAACTGGAGGTCAGATCCCACTATACCCATTCGGGCACTCTTCTTTCGATCATTATCATCTTCGGCAATGATAGGATTGGTTAGAATAGCAAATTTCCATAGCTTTTGCTTTGCATGAGGTTTCATATGGCTGGTAAAAGGTTTTTCTCTTTTTGCCATCGAACCTCCGGCCGAGCGAGATGACGTACTCCAAATTACGATCAAGTATGGAAAATATCTTTCTTTTGTTTTTGTTCCTGGACGATTTTCAACGTTTCCGTACGTCCGGGAGCGCCGGTCTAGCCATTTCAAAGTAAAAACTCAATCCTTGAAATTCCCGTTTTATAAAAAGCTTTTTGGTTTAACTCCTTGCTTGTAAGTCAGAAAAGCACAGCTTAGCATTGTTTTGGCTCGCCGCGGTCTAGACGTCTAGAAAATTCTTTGTGAAGCTGCCCGGCGATCTAGCATCAAAAACTCAATCCTCGACGAAGTTCGCGTTTTCAATCTGACTTTTTTACTTAATCCATTCCTTGTAAACCAGAAAAGAAAAGCCTAGCATTATTTTTGTGTTTTTTGCCTGCCGAAAGCTGCGGGACTTAAAATTTCACCGCGGATGCGTACGCGTTGCCATCGCACCCTCCCTTTCACTCATTCTTTTACCGCCTTTCCGACCGCTTCCTTTTCTACTATTGTCATTTTCTTCAGCGAGCACCTCATCGGGCTCTTCTTCCTTCTCTTCCTCATCTACCAGTCGACATCATCATCGTGGTGGTCGAGACAAGAAGAAGAAGAAGAAGAAGGTGGCTATGGGAGGCCGTCGCATCCAACCGACAGCTCCCCCAGTCGAACTCTATGCCGGCGATTTCTCAGCCGAATCGGGTAGAAGACAACATAGCCCTCCACCATCATATCCAGGCTCTATCGCTTCGAGGAGGACACATTTTGCACATGATAGAGATTCGATCTATCAACGGATTGACAGAGGAGGAGATGATTCCGAAGATGAGAGCACGAAGGAGCCACCTGTTGAAGTCATTTCTACCGATAAAGCAGCTCGATTCCATCCCAAAACGATCAGTCCGAGGAAGAAGAATAAGAGGAGGAGGGAGAATCCTATGTATCACACTAAAAGGTGGATTACCGGAAGTTACACTGGATACTGTAGAGGATTATTGTAATTTTTGGGCGTTAAAATATATATTTCCAAATTTAGTATTCAAAATTGGTTTTTCTGACTGAAATTTATAAAGTTGCTGACTTTCTGACTAAAAAAGAAGACTTCAAAACTGAAAAATGCATAGTTTTAATTTTTCAGAGGATGCACGGACGTGATCTGCTGTTTTCTGTTTATGCTGTTCATCGCCGGATGGGGATTCATCGCCGTTATAGGTATAAACTAACAAACTGTCTGCCATTCCTTCGTTTTAGGCTTCCTTCAAGGCAACCCGGAACGTCTGATCCACCCAATGGACTCTCAGGGAAGACGCTGTGGATTCGCGAGGACTGGCGCTTATGATCTAACGTACGATTTTAGGGTTTAACTGACATAAAATCTTTTCTAGAAGCAAGCCATATCTTTTGTTCTTCGATATGACGGCCTGTATCTCGTATTCAACATTGCTGGCCGGCTGCCAGACACCACAGGTACGTGCTATTCCTAATTTCGACCCAACAGGTGTTAAAACTCAATCCTCGAAAAATGTATTTTTGGACGTGTAAACTGTGTTTTCGTAATTTTCACATGGCAGAATAAGCAAAAATAGGAATGAAATAGGTTTTCAAAGTAAAATTGACCGCCAAAACAATTTCTTTATCTTTAGTTTGTGACGGACGCTGGAAAAGGAACAATAAAAACTCAATCCTCGAAAAAGATATTAGTTCGTTAGTTTTTAGACGGTAGTTTCGTAACGTCCTCAAGTCAGAATAAGCAAAATGAGAATGGATTAGTTTGTGATAGCAAAATCGACCACCAAAACGATTTCTTTAGCTTTTGACGATGGCTCGGAAAAGGCAAAACCCCTGAAAAACTCAATCCTTGAAAAAGTCTTGTAGCATCCTATAAACTGGACATTTATCGATTACGCCATCCAATGTAACTAGAAATGAGGATACTTTTGAAAATATTGCTCTTTCAGTCATCTTAGACGAATTTGTTTCAGATCTGTGTACCGACGTGCCCACAGAGCTACTTCTCGTATCTCCAGCTGAAGGTGTTCTCCGATGGTTCTCTTCCATTCAACGAGATGGTCAAGGCCAATATGTACTGTGTTGATGGCTTTGATGCCTCTACACTCACCACATTTGCCCTTGTACAACAAGCCGTCAACGACCGCAAATGCGCCAAGTACACCGTCCCTTCAGCTCCAGGTAATCTACTCATTTTTGCGTTTTTCGTCGCTTTAATATTTTCATAGCGGTAATTGACAGCCAGCTAATCAATTCCTTTAGTTCTGGGCCGTTGTATGCCGCAGATCCTGATCGGGACGGTGGAAGAGCTAGACAAGCTTCAAGCCGCCAATGGAACTCTCGATGTATTGATTGGACAATTTGGAGATGATGGAGGAACCATTCCAAAGCAGACCATGCTCAATGACACCAGCAAGTACGTTTCCCCTCAACCTCAACCACACCAGACCCCACCCCCATAATGTAAAAGTACTGAAAATTCTCTTTTTTCAGGATGGTAGGCGAGGTGATACTATCTGAGGGCGTGTTGACCAAGATGGCGTCTGATTTGGCACAGGTATCAGAGGGTAGTTGCTCACAAATCGGCTGTATTTTTCAGAGCTGGTGGCAAATCCTGACGTTGATCATCATCGCCGGTGTACTCGCATTCCTATGGACGGTTGTCATGAGGATATTTGGATCTCTGATGATATGGTCTTCGATTGGGATTATTGTCGGCGGGCTGAGTGTCGGTGCGTCTTTAAAACTTGTTAAAAAGTTATTTTTATATCCCGTTAAAACTGTTTTCTGTCTAGCAACCAGACGTTTCCAAAAGTTTTTAGGTTGCGGCTACTGCTGGCTAAAATGGAATGGCCTAAAAGCCTCGGGGGCCACCGACGACTTCTCATTCCAGCCAATATTCGAGCTCTACTTTGAGATGCCAACCACTTGGCTCGTTTTTGGTATGCAGCCCAAAAGCTAGCATCTCTGTCTATTTACAGCAATTGGAGGGAGTGCCATTCTTCTGATCATCGTCCTCATCCTACTCTGTGTCGCCAGTCGGATCCGTCTTGGTGTGGCGATGATCGAGGAGAGCAGCAAGTAAGGATGGGCGAAAAACTCAATCCTTCAAAATGGAATTTATATGGCGTAATTTCCGGCAAAAATTTTGTAAGCCGCCAGTAAAACTGTAGCAAAACCCCTTTAGTGCTTATTTTTTTAGAGCAATCGCTCACATGATGTCGACATTGATCTTCCCGATCTTCCCATTCCTCCTCCATATCATCGTATTTATTGTCTGGGGTACTGTAGCCATCTGGTTGGCATCAACAGGAGAAGAGAATTGTCGACAACAAGGACAAACTGCCAATCAGACAATGGCCAATCCCAGATGTGACTGTGCTACACTCGGAATTGTACGTTTGGAGACTTCAGACTACAAACGTTCAATTTTTCAGGATACGAATTGTGTGTACGTGAATGTGACGCGAGATAATGATCAAGTCTTCTGGTTCCAAGCCTACAATCTCTTTGCTTTCTTCTGGATGACGTGTTTTGTCACGGCTTTAGGTATCAAAACCACAATTGTCGTACAGTTTATCCTTTTCAGGGGAAATTGCGCTAGCTGGCGCGTTTGCCAGTCATTATTGGGCTGTCGACAAGAATCGAGACATCCCCACGTTTCCGGTGCTGCGAGCGCTTTGCTTTGCCATGAAGTAAGTCAAGCATCACCCTTGTTTAAGGGGTGATAAAACCAAAAACGTCATCTAACCTTTTATGCCTTTTAAAAAAATTTCTTACGGTTTCCGAATTTTGGCTGAAAATTTTCCAGATACAACCTCGGCTCCCTGGCCTTTGGGAGTCTCCTAATCGCCATCGTCAAATTCATCCGTGTCATCCTGGATTATCTCGACAAGAAATCACAGACTACCCAGAACTCTGTCCTCAAAGCCATCTTCTGGTAACCTTTTCGCATTTTTCATCAAATGTCAATATTTTAGCCTTTTGAAATGTTGGTTCTGGTGCCTGGAGGTGTTCCTCAAGTTTTTGACGAAGAATGCGTATATTATGGTGAGTTTTGAATCTAATTAATTGATATTTTCTGTTTAGATGGCCATTTATGGGAAGGGCTTCTTCACCTCAGCCAAAGACAGTTTCTTGCTGTTGACGAGGAATTGTATTCGAGTGGTTGTCATCAATCAAGTCACCGCATTTCTCCTCTTCATCGGAAAAGCCGCGATTACCATCGGAATTGGTGGGTTCGGAAAAGTTATAATTATATTTTTGGCTATTCTGAATGGCATGAAAACCAATTTTGAAATGAAGATCGAAATTAATTCGAAAACTAAGGATTGAGTTTTACTGTAGTACAAACTGCATGGCGCTACAACTATTTTTGTAAAGAAAAATTTAAATTGACTAAAATTTAAGGATTTAGTTTCATATAATTCAATCTGTGTAGCAATTCACCTATTTTCGAATAGAAAATTTAAATTTATTGAAAAACAGCGGATTGCGTCTTACTGTAATCCAGTCTGGATGCCAGTAAATAGGTTTTCGCCGAGAAAATACGATTTTTTTTGAAAAAAATAGGATGTAGTTGACAGTAAAATTTATGTTTTTCCAGGTTACTAGCTAACTCGTCGATTTTCAGGTGTGGTGGCGTATTTCTGGTTCACAGGCAAATGGACGATAGATGGGATCCCTCGTGTGGATCTGTATTATTATTTCCTTCCAATCATCATTGTCCTCATCGGCTCCTATTTCATTGCCGATATGTTCTTTGATGTCTACGAGATGGCCGTCGACACGACATTCATTTGCTTTTGTAAGCTTTTTACGCATTTTTTTGCATAGGAATTTGGACCGTAATATTTTCTGCCCGCTAAAGAACAACAAACAGACCATTTCCCTACGAGAATTCGGCTTCTTCAAAACGTCGCCCCCAACCGCCAGAATTTGTTTTGCAAAAAAGGTGGCGGTGGCGGCAACGCAACTGATTCATCCTGCCGCAGGACGGCCACTTAATTTCGACTTGCGATTTTTGGGCCGGGGAGCGATTGCTATTTTTGGTCTTGTAGGATGACAATTTGATGATTGAGCACCAGAAAAGACCTGTAGCTCTGTGGGACTGAGGATTGCGCTTGATTTTTCGCTTTTCTGACCGATGAGCACAAGTTCTGGGTGGCAAAAAAAATTTTATCAAGATGAAGGGATTGATCCTAACTTTCTCTATTTTCAGTGGAAGACAGCGAACAGAATGACGGCAGCCCCGAGAAACCCTTCTTCATGTCGGCCAATCTGCTGAAGATTCTCGGGAAGAAGAACGAGACCCATATCAACGTCTCCAGCTCGTCCTCCTCCTCCAAATAAGCCATTTTCATTTTCTGTTTGTATTTATTTATCGAATTGAATTGCATATCTATATTTGTGATATCCTTTCTGTGGCCTTTGCTTAAAATTTCTTCTCCAATTGACATTTTATGCATTCCGTTTCGGGTTTTTTGCACTAACTGGAGGGCAGACGGGTCGTTTTGAGGTTTTAAAGGGACCGGGAAGTAAAAGAAATCCGTTAAAAACCACTAAACGCCAATCTGTACGCCATTCTGTCTAAAACTGGCCGTTTTGGTGGTCGACTCACCCTCCCCTCCCCTCTACCTATTGAATAATTCGTTGTGGCCCTAGGGCCCGGGTCCCTCGTCCGATTTTGCGCCTATTCCCCCCCCCCCCCCCGTATTTGCACAAGGCCCGTTCTCGCACTCCCCTTCCCCTTCCCTTTGCTATGAATGTATTCCGGTAGCCTTTTAGCCACACTGGATCGGGTATTGAGTGAGAGAGAGACAGACAGACAGACAGACAGACAGACAGCACATATCGTGTTGTCTGTTGCGTGGCGTAGTCTTCCTATTTCCCCTTTCCATCCCCCCTCCTATCTCTACGGGTTATCCTCCTTCCCGCCCTCCTTCTAGTCATCCACCAACCCCCGAATATCTCGACTATATGCTCCTTCTCATTCCCCTTTCGTGCTCTTGCTCCTTTCCCTTGAGCTCGACCTCCTTCAGGTTATCGTTTTCTGCTCTACTTACACTAACTCAACTTTTCCTTTGTGATTTATGCAATACAACTAACGAGAAAGCGCTAATAAATTTTTTTCCATAGAGTTGGCGCTTAAGTCGAATTTTGCGCAGAATACGATAAACCGAAACTCAATCCTTGGAATTTGGATTTTTCTTGCAAAGCAACCTTGTATTTATTTTTTTTGCCAGACAGTCAGTTCTAAAACAGCAGAGATTTTATTATATGCCCATGTTAAATAGGTTAAAATTATTTTGACATTTTGGTTTCGAGCGATTCCCTCGCCTTCTCACTTAAATCTTTCGAAATGTCCCAAAGCTAGTACTTTTTTTTGGGGAAACCCCCGTTTCTTCTCCTTCTCATCTGACTCACTTATTATTCCACAGCCCACCGTGCCGATTTCCCAATATATAACACGACGGAAAGGGGTTGTCTGTCTGTCGACAAATGCTTCTGAAATCTCCCATCCGCTATTCCGAGAGGACATTTCGCAACGCTCTGCGGGCAGTGGAATGGCCAGCGGGCAAAGAGGCTGATGAGTCATCTCTATTCTGTCTGTCTCGCCTTCTTTTTTCTTTCTCTATCTCGTGCTCCCCTCAAATGAGTCTTCGATCTCATCCATCTGTTCTTCCGACTCTTCCCTCCACAAAGAACCCTTAGTCACCAACAGATCCATCCAAAAACCTGTTCCCCATTTTCCTTGCCGGTCAGTTTACCGATCCAGAGGATTATTTTGGAAAAAAATTGTTCTAGAACATCTGAAAACCGTCACACAATATCCATATTCTTCCCCTGATTTGCGTGTATCGAGTGAGCGAGTGACTGAGTGAATAAATGAGTGCGACCCATCCAGCCGACTAGTACTGACCGGTTAATTCTCCCCCCAGTAGCCCCTCGGGTCCGTCGAGTCTCTCCTCGGTCATCCCAATCTCTCGTGGACCTCTATCTGACTCTACTCTCTCGAATTTCCCTCTTCTTTTCCTTTCTCCAATTCCCTTCCCCCTTCTTCCCTCTATTTTCCGAACACATCACCATAGTCAACTCACCCACACCAGTCGTATTTATTCCCTACAATTTGTAGCTTTGAAAGCTGGTTTCCTAAATTGGTTTTATAGCGTTTTGGACGAATTTTCGATAGTGTAGGTCGTTTGGGTTGAGTAGATCAGCTTATCGCAAGTGGAATCACTTTGTAAGCATTTCCTGATTTCCTGAGTCAATATTCTAGCTCTTTCTCAGTTTATTGACAAGTTTTATAATTTTTATACGTTTCTGAAAACGTTCTTAATGCTTTTTCGGGGTTTCCGTATTTTCTAGGTAGCTGAAGTTGATCGAGTTAGCTTTCGCGCATGGGGCACCAATTTGTAATTTTACAACCAAATTTACACAGATTTTCGCCTGTTTTAGGCAGTTAGAGCCGGTAGCTGACGTTTCGCGCATGAGGCACCAGTTTGTAAACAAATGCCGATTTCAGGCCCGGTTCTAGGCTAATCCATCTCTGGTTGACAAACAAATCGCTTTCCCTAGCTGCGTAGACAGGCCAGACAATGCGACCATCGATTCCATGGTTAGGGGTTTCTAGCCAGGGGGTAATGGCCAAGTACCCCAATTCCCCATCCCTTCTTCTTTCTTCTGCTCAGAATCAATGGCTTAATCCAAGTGGTTGGTTGTGGAGCATGTGGGCCATCTGTCGAGGTCCTTCGTCAGCCAGTATAGAGAGTAGACCAGGGGGAAGGGAAGGGTGATTCGTTGTTTGGACGGGGTGGGGTAGAGGGGGGGGGGGGGGGGCGGGACGCGCGATCGGACTCTCCTGGGGGTCGCCACGAATCGATGCAATGGAAGGAAGGACGGAAGGGGCGAACAGGCCTTCATCGTTCGGTTGAGCGGGAGAAGGCCCTGACTGCTGCTGGCTGCTACTCCATCTCGCGACAGTCCTCCTTTCCCTCCCCCTCCTTCTGTCTGTCAGTATGTCGATCTGTGTGTCCTTGTGTCCTCTTCCTCCTCTTCTCTACCTCATTCTCCTTTCTATACCCGCGGGTCAGACCGGCTGGCCTCACCCTCCCCGCCTCGATCTGTCCCTCAACCGCGCGCACATGCACGTACCTACTCCTTCTCCTTCTTCTCCTTCTTCTTCCCCTCCTTTCATTCAGCCCGAGTTCCTTGGTTTTTTGGCGCCTAAATTTGAGCCCGGCTTTGCAACAAGGGTTTTTGAGTTAATTTTTGCGATTTCGTCATGTCCGGATATTTTGCTGTATTTTGTTTCTATTTTTCTTGACAATTTCTAAATTAGTTCGATTTTTCGGCGCTGGCATTGAGAGCATTCGAAAGCCCGCGCAGCGCACACCGTTCTATAATTTTCTAGCGTTTTTTTACGGAGTTTTTGCGGCGTTTCGACTGTGTTTTCTGGGCTTCTCTGGTAGTAGATTCACGCGTTTTTACGCGCCATCGAAGGCCCGCGCCGCGCACTGTGTTCCAGAATTTTCCGGGGGCTTTTTGTTGAGTTTTGAGCGCGTTCCCAACTGTTTTTAGGCTTCCAGTCTGCTGCTGCTTCCAGCAAACTTACGCGATTTTTCGTCCCATTCAAAAGCCCGCGCGGCGCTTGACGTTCTCGAAACTTTTCGCGGCTTGTTGCAGATTTCGTTGGCGCTTTCCAATTCTGTTTTAGGCGCCTCGTTTAGCGCTGTTTTTCCTCCAGCAAACTAGCTGCTACCTACCCGCCACCTATCCTCCATGTTTTTCGCACTAAAAAATGAATGTGGGTGGCGCTGTGGGGAGTGTGTCAGTCAGTCAGTCAATCAATCCCTCCTCTACCTCTATTCCATTCGATTGTGCATTCTCTATGCTCTACTCTCTGTATCGAACGTGTTTACCCCATCCCCCTCATCGTCCCCCTGCCCCCCATTTTCCGCTTATCTCGCTAATTTTGCGATTTCAGGTAGTTGGGGGGTGGCTGCTCTGAATAGTATACTATTCATTGTCTATTTTGCCCTAAACGACTACTCTTTCGGCTATCTCTCTCTTCGCCCTCTTTTTCAATGTCTTTTAGATAAGCAAAGGGCTGTTCGGGTGTGTGTGTGTCTCGCCCTTATTATTGATTGATTTGCGGTGACTCAACAGTCACCAAGATTAATTCCATCTTACGGCAGTCCACACAGTCCTTTTTTCTTCTAATCGATCGCGTTGTGAATCACTTGACGGGGGGTGGAGCTGATGTTTTGTCTTCGGCGGCATTTCCCGAGCCCTGATGCCTCACATTTCGCGTTTCCCCGGGTCTTCTGGCGATTTGTAAATTTTCAGGAGTTTTTGACGTTTTTTTGGATTTTTATAGGGTGGATGTTTTTCTTTCCTCGTTTTGGAGGTTTTCTTCTTGTTTGTACTTACACTTACTTACTTTTAATTCGGCGTATTGTCCAGGAAGTACACGACAGAATGTCCGGCTGGGCTGCCTACATCACCAACTTGACCGCCGCCTCATCCCACATCCAGAAAGCGGCCATCGTCGGATTCCCCGATGCCGCTGTGTGGGCTCGATCAGAGGGCGCCAACCAATTTCAGGTACATTTTTGGCGTAGATCTTGTTTTTCTTTTTCTATGCTTTTCATTCTCTACCAGGTTGAAAAGCTAACCCATGAAAGTTTACACTTTGCATAATTCGCCCGACCCAAACTGAACAATGAAAAATGCGCGCTCTGCTCCTTTATATTGGGTACCCCCACTTCCAGTGTATGATAATTGATTCCTAACAAAGAGTGTCTTTTGATTTTTCAACAAAAACTAAAATTTAATGTCGAAAATCGACGCGTTTGATAAATCTGATGAGCGTACAGTCATCTCCTGGACATTACGCACCTAATGACGTATCATACATGCCCCTAAGTACTTCCCTTCTTGAGATACTGCTGGAACCTGACGGAAGTTGCATGCAAAGTGGCACACACACAATTTTATATATATATATATGTATACCAGATGGTTACAGTCGCTTCGCGACTGCAACCATCTGGCCTTCGGGCTACCCTACATGTCCCACTCCACCAATCCTCCCACCTCCATCAATACCCCGATAGCCGAAATCCCGTTCAAAAACTACCTAAATACCTTCCCGATGGCTTAAGATACCTCCCCTAGCCGAAATCCCCTTCAAAAACTACCTAAATACCTTCCCGATGGCTTAAGATACCTCCCCTAGCCGAAATCCTTTTAAAAACGAAAATAACGACCGACCGGATGGAATGAGAGAAAAAAGAAATGAAATCCCCCGTGAAAATTTTCATCCACGAAACGCGCGCGACCTGGCTCACTATGTCCAAAATCACCCCCAACCTCCGTCCCCCACCCTTTACTAAGGAAAAACTTTCAAAGTTAATTTTAATAATTTAAACTAAAAGTTTTTCATAATTTTTTTATCAGTTTGGGGGTTTCTGACTACGCTCTATCCGAATCCGAAGAGAGCTAAGCTCTAGCTCCTTTCCCCTTCGAGTTGAATCCGGGACCGGACACACACACAGACACCACAGCAAAATTATTATAGTTGATATATATATAGTAGGATTTCTCCCCTTTCCAGGCAACGGAGGCCGAGCTGAAGACGTTGGTGAGCGGCTTCAACAACCCGATGGAGGTGCCGGCCCGGGGAGCCGATCTCGAAGGAGTGCACTACATCGTCCCCAGGGCTGATGAGAAGGTCATCTTTGGCAAGCAGGGAAAGAGCGGATTCTTCGCCGTAAAGACTGCTAAAGGTATACGATTTTTTTCAACGTTTTTCGGCGTTATTTCGTTCGCTTGATTTTTTTATCGAAACGGGAATTCGGGCGTTATTTTCACAGGGCCAGCCTGGGAAAGGCCATAGAAAAATTTGGAGGGGTTTTTCGATTTTCCACATGATTTTGTGAATTTGATTTTTTGGTTCGTTCGCATAATGGAGGCGGCCCTTTGAAGTTATCAGGCATTTCTAGTTTTATACAACCCCCCCGATAATGCCAAAGATCCGAAAATTCAGCTTTCAGTTTTCAGGCATTTCTAGGTTTATACAACCCCCCCCGATAATGCCAAAGATCCGAAAATTGAGCTTTCTTCTAGTTTGTAGACCTTCTGATTATGCTTTTTCAGCGGTGCTGGTAGCCATCTACAAGGGCGAGTCGGCCGAGGGATCCGAGGTTCGGGCTGCCGTCGAGAAATTGGCCGAGTATCTGGCCAGCACCGGGTATTAGAAGAAGATGATCAACACCAGCTGAAGACGTTCTCTCTCTCTCTCTTCTGCCCCTCTTTCTCCCCTCTCCATCTGCCTTCAAAACGGGCCCCCGTTCCATGTTATCCATTCCCCTCTATCTATTCTCGATTCTTGTGACTGTGTAAATGCTGCTTTGCCAGCTTCTCTCTTCTCTTCATTCCCTTCATTCCCTTCAACACCCGATCATTCCCAATTCAGTTCCTCCTTCTCTTCCCCCTCTCAGATCCGAGTGTCTCTCACCGTATTGTGCTTCTCCTTCTCCCCTCTCTTATTTATATATGCATCTTCTTCTGCCCTTCTCCTCGTCTCGTCTCTTTTTCATTTGCTTTCCACGTTGTCAAATTGTCATAATGTAATAAACGCTTACAAGGAGATGGTCTCAGCTCGGAATCGAATTCGGATTTGAAAATTTGCACTCTTATAGAGCTCGACGAGACAAATCAATTGGTGAAACTTTCAGCTGCTGATACAATAACCACGCCGAGTTATAAGCATTTTAAGTTTTTGCATACATTTTGCATTTTTTCGGCCATAGCTTCATAGGCCTTCCCCGCCTCCCCAGCACCATGGTCTGGTGGCCTAGTGGTGTAGTGGGCGGCCTCCGGGGTAATCTAACGAGGGTTCGAACCCGCTCACGATTTTTATTTTTTGCTTTTTCCTCCGAAGGTTCCTCTTTCCTTTCTGAGGACCTGGCATAGCTTTTTACGCATTATTTTAACTCCTCTGGTGCGAAATGGGTAAAAAAACATCTCTTTGAAAAAAATTTAGATTTTTTTACCCGAAAGGACTATGCCGGTCCCAAAATAAATTGAAAATTCAAAGCATATCAAAAATCGTGGAGTAAACGTAATTTTGGTAAATGGTGTGTTATCCGAACAAAAGATTTCATCCGCGAAAATTTTTTGGAAATGGTAGTCATAGGTCGGACAAGGGCTCCATGCCCAGTACGAAAAATTTTTGCGGTGAAGTTTGATGTTATCGGCGCATCAGAGGAGTTAAAATAATGCGTAAAAAGCTATGCCAGGTCCTCAGAAAGCAAAGAGGAACCTTCGGAGGAAAAAGCAAAAAATAAAAATCGTGAGCGGGTTCGAACCCTCGTTAGATTCCCCGGAGGCCGCCCACTACACCACTAGGCCACCAGACCATGGTGCTGGGGAGGCGGGGAAGGCCTATGAAGCTATGGCCGAAAAAATGCAAAATGTATGCAAAAACTTAAAATGCTTATAACTCGGCGTGGTTATTGTATCAGCAGCTGAAAGTTTCACCAATTGATTTGTCTCGTCGAGCTCTATAAGAGTGCAGATTTTCAAATCCGAATTCGATTCCGAGCTGAGACCATCTCCTTGTAAGCTTCCAACAGAGTGCACTTTTAGACAGGAAATCACGTGAAATCGAGCAGATCTGTTTTTTTCCGAAGAATTGCTGTTAGTTGGCCTAGAAATTGGCGTTTCCACGCAGGATCATTGAGTTAGTGACGGTTTTTCGACACGAAAAGGCGTTGCAAAAAGCTGATCAGTCTCAAAGGAACTCGGCTAGATTGCGGAACATACGGGGTTCCATGACTTTGTAAACTGTAGTTTTCCTAAATAATCGCTGCTAGTTGACCTAAGATCCAATGTCTGGACGTTGGCGTACGCCTTTTACCTAGTTGGGTAGAAACGATAGTTTCCTAAAGTGCCTCTGCCGGTTTGCGTCAAAAAATCGGCATTTTCGATGAATCAAAAGCCCATGTTTCCTCAATAATCGCTGCTCGTGGCCCTAAAAATCAGGTTTTTCGACTTTTGTCCATTTCGTTGTCGAGCAGTTTGTTAGCTAACGTATTTTGCTAGAGCATCACTGCTGCCTTGCCTAAAAATAAGGGTCCTTTCGTTCAAAGCCCTAAAACGGCCGATCCCCACCCTATATCTGAAAATCCATGTGCTCTTTTTGGAAGGCTTTTCTAAAGTCTCCTTGCCTGAAAATCGGACGCTTTGCCTTGTTTTCTCTAAGCAAAAACGGTTTTCTTAAAAGTATTGCTGCTAAGCTGCCATAATCCAAATTTCTCGACTTTTTACAGTGTGCTAGAGCCGCTAGGCCAGCTAGCCAGCCATTTTGTAGAAAAAGGTTTATATTTGAAACGTATAATAATTATAGGCACTAAATATAGAGCAGAGAAGACTGAAGGGGTAGCAGCTGGTGCAGGGGGAAGAGCATCATATAAACTAATGATAAAGCAGAGATCGATCCGTATTATAAACAATTCTATTATCGGAAATCGGATCGATTAATATTCACAATATTCACCGTCAAATAATGACAAAATAATCACAATCCCCTTCTCAGCAATCCAAGAAATTCGCGGCCATCAATAGCTCCAACGCCACATCGGGTTCGATGCTGAATTCGGGGATTTCAGCTGCCGAATTGGTGTATCGCGTCTTGTACGCAAAATAGTTGCACACTTTCACGAGAACGTGAGAACTGAAAGACGGGAATTTGTAGCTTGTAGCTTATTCTTTAAGCTTTAGTTTAGCTTTTTAGCCATTTTTAGACCTACGGAATCTCGCGGAAAATCACTTCGTTCGCCTCGTTTTCCGTGAAAGTGCCCGGGCCGCTGAAAATTAATGGGGTTTTTAGGTTAAATTGTGTTTGCTTCAGAAGATTTTGAAGGCGGATTTTAGCTACTTTCTGGGGTTTCAGACTTAAAATTTTCGTGTTTTAGGAACAAATGGTCCCTGCTGGCTTTTCTGGCGGTCAGCAAAAATAGTGAGCGTTTCTTAAACGCTCCCTGCTAGCCAGTATAGCTCACAAAAAGTTTAGAAATAAATTATCGAGTTTTTTCGGGTTTTTAGCCCACCTGAGCATAGCCTTGATAGTGCCAGAAATGAGGGCATTATCCCTCTTGACGAAGAACTCGTGCCCGTCACTGCTCACCAGCTTCACGTAGTTCGAATCAGGCCCGTCCACAATAATATCTGCATCGATTTTATACCTTTAAGCCTTTTTCTTCCTTACCATATTCGTAGCCCTCACCCATCTTCGTGGTTTAAAAATCTAAACTTTTGCATTAAATGCAATACTTCCCTTAGAAACTATAAACTGGCTACAAACTAGGTTTTAACAAGGATTGAGAAGATATTTGAAGACTAGGAACTTCATATTCAAAAACACACGGAAAACAATGGTAATATTTATTATTCATCAAACGCCCAGGGCAACAAAGAAATATGTTTGTAATACACATAGAAATAACAAAAAGGCGTATGGTTGAGCTTATTTTGGGGCGCCGATGGTAATACTTTCTTCCAACTTCTTCTTCTTCGAGGGCGGGTCCGGGCGTTTGGGATTCCTGCAAAAAAAATCGATTATTTCCTGGCGTAAGCGATTGACGTAAAGCGAGAGAGAGAGACAGAGAGAGAGAGAGAGAGAGAGAGAGAGAGAGAGAGAGATAAATAAAACTCACAGAATTCCTTCGACGGCCTCTTCTCCGAGATGATTGATGAGCATTCGGCATTTATTGTTCGTCTGCAGATTCTCGCGGACCAGCTCCTTGATGCGCAGGCTTCGATCGACGAGAATCATCTCCAGTTGCTTGTTTCTAAAAAAAGGCATTAATTTTTGATTTCCAAAATTCGATTTTTTACGTTTTTCATAAAATTTACTTTGAGCCCCCGATAATGCAACAGAACCCCAAAATTAAACTGTAAAACGTACTTATAAAGCGCGACATCGAGCTGGTCCTTGAGATATTGGTTCTCGCTCATCAACTGGCGAAATTGTGTCGGCTGCTGGATTCTTTGTCGGCCCGTTGACATTCCTTGATGGTGGCCACCCGTCAATTGTCCGTATTCCATTCCCATGTGGCCTCTGAAAAAAGGAATTTAATTGATCTTTTAATAAATCACGCAAAAAAATTGGTACTGGACTGTTAGCGGCGGGGCGGGGGGTTAGAAGCTGTATAGCCTACAGTTTTATAGTGTTTTTCGTAGTCTTAGCACGGAAAAGCCGCAAAAATAACTTTCAAAATTTGGAAAATTCTAACTTTTTCAAGATTAATTTTTCATCCATTTTCTATATTAAAAATTTCGTTAAAAATATGTAAATTGTATGCATAAGACTATTGAAACACTACAAGACGCTAGACCAAAATTACCTCCCCCGCTAATAGCCCAGTGCCTAAAAAATCTAAAAAACGTACTCCTCGATGACATCAATGTAGGAAGTGGACGGGTCGCAGATATCATCCGAAGTGACTTCTTCTTGTTGCACAACATCAATATCATCCTTCAGATAGTGATGCTCCTCGTGATGGACATCTTGCTCAACGAATTGAGGCTGGAGATCTTCATCGCTGAAGTATTTCCTGAATTCTGGGATAAAAAGACTCAAATTATATAAATACCTTCTGGTAGATGATGTCGGCATCAAGCTCAGCGTCTTTGTCAACGATTGATCACCACGATGCTGGAAATAAAACATAAAAATAATGTAGAAAAAGAGTCCATTAACAAAATATTTTTTAAAATCATGATTTCGAGCGATTTTTTTATTTTTTAAACTAAAAAATTACGGGTAAAATGGGTACTCGCTCGCCAAGCGGTGCCCCAGTGCCGATGGCCTGTCGTGGACGTCGTATGGTTGGATCATCTTTTGCAGTGCCCGACACGACGACCAATCGCTTCACTACCACTGCTCTTTGTCGCTGATCCGGGGCGTAGGAGGAGGAGGAGGACTGCTGCTGGGAGGAGCTCGATTCCTGAAAAAACAACGATAAAAATGTAATCAACTATAATAATTTTGCTGTGGTCTCCGTCCGTCCGTCCGTCTGAAGCCGAATTCAACTCGAAGGGGAAAGGAGCTAGAGCTTAGCTCTCTTCGGATTCGGATAGAGCGTGCTCGGAAACCCCCAAACTGATAAAAAAATTATGAAAAACTTTTAGTTTAAATTATTAAAATTAACTTTGAAAGTTTTTTCCTTAGTAAAAGGGGAGGGGATGGAGGTTGGGGTGATTTTGTACATAGTGAGCCAGGTGGCGTGCGTTCCCTGGATGAAAATTTTCACGGGAGCCATTTCATTTCTATTTTTCTCCCACGTATCCGGTCGGTCGTTATTTTAGTTTTTTAAGGGGCATTCGCCTAGGGGAGGTATCTAAAGCCATCAGGAAGGTATTTAGGTAGTTTTTGAAGGGGGTTTCAGCCATGTGGGGTATCTGAAGCCATGAGCAAGGTATTTAGGTAGTTTTTGAAGGGGGTTTCAGCCATGGGGGTATCTGAAGCCATCAGGAGGGTATTTAGGTAGTTTTTGAAGGGGTTTCAGCCATGTGGGGTATCTGAAGCCATGAGCAAGGTATTTAGGTAGTTTTTGAAGGGGTTTCAGCCATGGGGGGTATCTGAAGCCATCAGCAAGGTATTTAGGTAGTTTTTGAAGGGGTTTCAGCCATGTGGGGTATCTGAAGCCATGAGCAAGGTATTTAGGTAGTTTTTGAAGGGGTTTCAGCCATGGGGGTATCTGAGCCATCAGGAGGGTATTTAGGTAGTTTTTGAAGGGGGTTTCAGCCATGTGGGGTATCTGAAGCCATGAGCAAGGTATTTAGGTAGTTTTTGAAGGGGGTTTCAGCCATGGGGGTATCTGAAGCCATCAGCAAGGTATTTAGGTAGTTTTTGAAGGGGGTTTCAGCCATGTGGGGTATCTGAAGCCATCAGGAGGGTATTTAGGTAGTTTTTGAAGGGGTTTCAGCCATGGGGGTATCTGAAGCCATCAGGAGGGTATTTAGGTAGTTTTTGAAGGGGTTTCAGCCATGGGGGGTATCTGGCCATGAGCGAGGTATTTAGGTAGTTTTTGAAGGGGTTTCAGCCATGGGGGTATCTGAAGCCATCAGGAGGGTATTTAGGTAGTTTTTGAAGGGGTTTCAGCCATGGGGGTATCTGAGCCATCAGGAGGGTATTTAGGTAGTTTTTGAAGGGGATTTCGGCTAGGGGAGCAATCTGAAGCCATCAGGAAGGTATTTAGGTAGTTTTTTAAGGGGATTTCAGCCATGGGGGTATCTGCAGCCATCAGGAAGGCATTTAGGTAGTTTTTGAACGAGATTTCGGCTATGGGGGGTATTGATGGAGGTGGGAAAGGATGTGGTGGAGTGAGACATTTAGGGTAGCCCGAAGGCCAGATGGTTGCAGTCGCGAAGCGACTGTAACCATCTGGTTTTAAATGTTTTAAAACTTAAAAAGTCATAGCTGAATTTTTTGGCGACAAAATTACGAAATTTCGGGTTTTACCAGAAATTTGCATGCATTTTCCGCACCGAAAAGACGAATATTTTTTTTTAGCGCTCCCATAAATCACAAAAAGCTAGAGCCAAAACAATGGCAGTTTTACAGCTGAAAGTAACGGCAGCTAATGTCTTTGGCTTAAAAATGAGGCGTTTTGAAGTTTTCTACAAAAATTTACATGATTTTTAACACCCAAAGGTTCATATTTTGTTTCTCGCCATCGCATCAACCGAAAAAAACTGAAACCAGTAAAACCTAACAATTTTTAAGCCCCAAATGAAAATAACCAAGGCTTTTGGGATAAAAATCGCGAAAATTGAGCTTTTTGTCCTAAATTCACAGATATTTTCCACATCCAGATTTTGAATATCTTGATCTCCACCCTCCAATTAATCTAAAAACCTTTAAAATCCAATACACACCTCATTCTGTCCCATCGGCGGCGGTTTGTTCTGCTTCCTTGGCATGACAGCCACTGGGGCCTTCCTTCGAACGCCTGGCTTTGGCGTCAATCCATCCATCACAAACGGAGAGAACACCGGGCTCGTCATATTCTAAAAGCAAAAAATAATATTCCCCCATTTTTTTGTAATTTGATAGGTTGAAAGGGGGGGTTCTTTCCAAAGGCTTCTGATTCCCCTCGGGGATGCCGTTACGACTGGATATGCCCTTTGCACGGCAGGGGAATCGTGGTGGGACCCCGACAATTTGAATTCGGGATTGGGAAAATCAACAAAAAAATTTATCGCATCTGTTAATAAAAAACGGCTAAAAATTGGAAATTACATCTTGATGATCGGCCTCCGAATTGTCCCATTTCTCAGCATATATTAGGGGAAGAGAATCGGGGGAATCGGGCGCAGGCTGTGGTTGGCTGTCGGTGGGTGCTTCTTCCTGAAAATAAAAAAAGTAATTTAGTCAGATACAAAGTTAGCTACTAGAATTTAGCAGCTACAGATAATAAAAAAATACGGAAAATTTTCGAGATTTTTGGAAAGGTGATAATTTTGACCCTTTTTGGTCGATTTCGTCCATGTTTGGCCTAAAAATTCACAAAATTTCCAAAATTTGCAGAAATTTGAAGTGACAGGGGATTTCAAAGCACTATTGACGTGTTTGAGGTATAAAATTAAATTACCGGCGGGGTTGCAAGCCAGGGATTTTCCTCTTTTCCTTCGTAGATATAGGGGACGTCTTCGTTTAGATGGCCGGGCTGCAGATCATTTTCGCTCAGCTCCACGGGTTCTTGCTTCGGTATCAGCGGGGCCACGGGGGCTGGGACTTGTTCTTCCGCTTCAGGCTCCCGATTCAGTTCCTTAAAAAATAACAATAATTATAGATAAAATATAAAATACCTGGGAAAAGGGGCCGGGTATGTGGTATTCTTCTGGAGATGCCCACGGGACGCCGTCTTCCAGATCGACAAACAGGCCCATCTAGAATTAGAGATTAGATATTTAACATTAAAATCGGGAATTAGCGGATTATTTCCATAGTTTTTATATTATAAATTTAAAACTGGGTTCTTTCGCATTATCGGGGGACCAACTTCTTCTAAAGACCTCATTTTTCAAATATAAACACCGGAAGTTTTTCTCAAATGTTTTTTTATTATTCCTAAACATAAAAACTTTACAAAGTCTTAATAAAAATACAAAAAATAGCGATTTTTCGACCAAAAATACCGGTTTCGGTCAAAATTTCGACTTTTCAGAAATTTTCTAAGTTTTTAGATGGGTTTTAGTTCAAATATAGTTACATTTTACTAAAAACACTATTAAAATACTTAATAGTATGTTAATAGGTATTTCTGGATTTAAAGAAAAACGTTGCTCCCCGATAACGCGAAAGAGCTAAGTTTAAAGTTCTAAATTAGGTCGCGGAAGTGTTTCTAAACGGTTTTTACTATTCCTAAACGTGAAAAATGCACTAATTTTGATAAAAAAGCTGCAAAAATGGCAATTTCAGCCAAAATTTATCAAAAAAGCCTGTTGTAAGACTTTTTTGATTGGTTTTTCGGATTTTATATAGTTAAATTTACCAAAAACTTATCAAAAACACTTCCTATTAATTTACTAGTCATTTCTGGACTTTTAGGAAAAAAGGTGGTCCCTGATAATGCGAAAGATCCTAAATTGAAAAATGATAATTACCATTTCTGGCCGGAAGACTTGTTGGAAGGGCGGCTCTTGATCCATTGCCAGCCTCTCGTGCGCCTCGCCCAACTCGATAGGTTCTGGCTTGGGGACGAGTGGGGCAGCGGGGGTTGGAATTGCGGCTTGTTGTTCTTCTTGGTCTCCTCGCACATCCTCCGTATTTTCATCCTGAAAATAAATAAATAATTGTCTTACAAGCCGCAATTTTTATCGGAATTCTGGTGCCGAATTTTGCTTTGACTCCGAATCTTCTTTCAAAGCTGTTTTGAAGCATTTCCGAGCAAAAAAACTGCAAAATTCAGCATTTTCGCGTAATTTTCACATTTTAAAAGCTTCATGACTGCATTAATCTGATCGGAATCAGCGCAAAATTCTGTCCAACATCACTAAAAAAGCGAAAAATCAGGAAAAAGTGATACCTGAGAGAATGGGCTGGGTTGACAGTAGTCTTCTTCTGTCGCCCATGGCACATCGTCATCCATCTCCACAGACAAGACTGACTATATTTATATTTTTTCGAGGTTTCAAAAGAAGAAATACCGTCATCGGGCGAGAAACGACGTCCGGGAATAGATCCTCCTCGCTGGTGGCATCCTCAGTCAAGAGATCTTCCTCCTCGTTCTCTCTTTCCACGACTTCCGTATTTTCATCCTGAAAACAAAGGAATTATTGTCTTACAAGAAGAAACTTTTAATGGAATTCTTTTGCAGAAATTTGCGCTGATTTCTAATTTGTGTTGAGAAGCTTTTATGACGCTTTTCTCTGTGAAAAACGTCAAAATTCACAATTTTGGCGAAATTTTCACACTTCAAGCTTTATAATTGCGTTTATCTGATCGGAATTAGCGCAAAATTCCGCACACTATCATTTAAAAAAGGTAAAAGTAGGAAAAGTGATACCTCCGAGAAGGGGCTGAGTTGATAGTCCTGTGATGAAGCCCATGGCACTTCGTCGTCCAATTCGACACACTGTATAGATTTATATATATTTTAAGTTTAATTGAGGTTCTTTCGCGTTATCGTAGGGAGGGACCAATCTTTTTCTAAGGACCCAATTTACTAATTTAAATAGCGTAACTGTTTCTAGACTGTGTTTTATATTTCTAAACGTGAAAACTTTACAAAGTTTGATCAAAAATACATACAATAGCGAAACAATTTGTTTTTAGCAAAATTTAATGATATTACAACTAGAAAAACTATCTAAAAACTTAAAAGAAAACCTTAGAATCGATATTTTGGGCAAATCGGCCATTTTTTAATCGAAAAATCGATAATTTTGTCTTTTTTATCAAAATTGAACAGTTATTACGTTTAGTATCAATAAAACTAAGTAGAAACACGCCAGCTATTTTGATTAGAAAAAAGCTGGTCCCCCGATAACGCGAAAGAACCAAAAGTAAAAATTGAAAATTACCACGGGCGGGTGGGAATTGTAGACAGCAATGAAGGGCTGCTCGGGCTCGGTGATCATTCTCTCGTCCTCCTCGCTCAGCTCGCCAACCCTCTGACCTTGCCGTTGTTCTTCTGCCGCGACTTCGGTGTTCTCTTCCTGAAAATAATAAACTATATTTTCTAAGACAAAAATCAAATACCTGTGAAAAAGGGCTAGGATATGAGTATTCTTCCAAGGTGGCCCAAGGGATTCCATCATTTTCGTCTACGCACATCACGATCTAAATTACACATATAACCAGATGAAAAAAGAAAACATAAGTGGAAAAATATAGAAAACACGAAAAAAGTTTTTAAAACCGGAAATTTGTACAATTTAGCACGCCGAACACCGGAATTCCGCAGCGGAGTGTGACGGAATAAAACAACGATCGTCATTTGGCGTCAAACGGCCTCGTGAATCGTTTTCATCGACTTTATTTTCGAGAAAGCGTTATTTTCGGTGTTAAAATAAAGTTTTTCGAAGGAACTACTCGAAGTTTTAGTTAGGAAATGAGTTTGACAAAGGGCTTTTCATCAAAAAAAAAGTTAAAAGGATCTAAAAAATCAAAAACTGAACAGAATCCTCTAAAATCGACGCATTTCTTGGGAGGGTTTCTAGAAGAACGGTTTCTGCGCATTCAACGACATCTTCCGATCGTGAGAATCGAGTTGAACGAGCTGCAAAACTAAGAATAAAGCTATTTTTTAACGTTTTGACTTTTACTTCAGTTTTTTGACAACTTTTAGATGGTTTTTGCCTTTTTCCAACTTAGCTATCGTTCGATTTAGCGAGTAAAGTGGTTTGGAAGGGGGTTTGTGGGGCGTCGGATAAATATTTGCGCGTCGACGGGTCGAATTTCACGATTCCACCCAGTTAGGAGAGGGAGGGAGGGAGTGATGGTGCTCAATTCTGCAGTTTCACCTTTTCAAAGGGATTTTTATGTTATGTTGACTTTTTCATAGGCAGAAATCCAATATTTAGATTCGTTTGGCCGAAATTTAACCGATCGCGGGGTCAAAAAAGTAAAAAAAAGACTTATGATGCTTTTCTAAGAGTCTAATTTTTGAAATTTACGTAGCGGCAGTGTTTCTAAGCTGTTTTTTATAATTGCTAGACCTAAAAAGTTTACAATTTTTTATTAAAAACTGCAAAAATATCTATTTCTCGACCAGGATGACCGATTTATGGCCAAAATGTCGCCTTTTTCGCGGTTTTGTAAAGTTTTTCTGGCTGGAATTTAGTTAATTTTGCTAAAAACACTAATAGAATAGTTCCTATTACGTTATTAGGCATTGCTAGGCTGGACAAAAAAATTCGGTTCCCCCGATAATGCGAAACGACCCATTTTTCGGGCAACTTGACCGCCATTTATGGTGGCGCCTTTTGGTACTTCGATATAATCTTACTCAATCGGTATTTATGATCGGTTATCCGGTAAACTGGCTGCCATTTCGACCATTTTAATATATTGGATGCCATGAGACGTGAAATTGGCGGCTATCCAGGGGTTCATTTAGAGACGCCGTCTGGGTGTCAGCTATCATTAGAGAGGAAGCAGGCTTCTCCCTTCCGAGCCTCAGCCAAAAGCTCATCTTCCCCTCCATTCCTCTTGACATCCTCATCCATCCATCTCAACCGCTTCATATTCTTATCTAGCCGAATGTGCCAATTATCTGTCCGCTTGAACTGCATCGCTTGAAATAAGGCGATAATTGCTGTTTTCCAGCCATTTACCAACCTTTTTCTTTATTTTCGATAGTTTTTAAAGTTTATCTACCCAGCTGCCCGTCAAGAACTACTTTTCCGGTTTGAGTGCCCCGCAGTTGAGCTGAAAATCCTTTTTTTCGGGATGCTGTTATCACTTTCCCGCCTGAAATGGCTGACAATTAGTAAGCTGGTGGGCGTTGTCGATATTTTCGATGTTTTACTGATTTTTTTATTGGCTTTGGATGTCAGTTCAGATTCTGAAAGATAAACTGGCAGATTTTCGTCAATAATGATAGCTCACTTTCGTTTTTCTAGTCACCTCGCTTCCATTTGCCGGGTTAAAACAATGTAGCAGGATTTCAATTTCAATATTGTATCAGCCGAATGCCAGTAAGTTTAATAAGCTTCATTTCCAATCAGCTAGGGTATTTTTAACGGTAGGTTATAGTGTGTCGATTAGAATAGTGAATTCGTCGTTTTTTTGGTTACCTGGCGTCCGTTTTTCGATCTAGAAGCCTTTTAGCATGGTTTTAATTTTTGATTCTGAGGCCTGAATGGAATTCAAAACATCGAAAAGGCTCCATTTCTATACAGCTAACATTTTTGGACGCTCAGCTGATCAGCTGGCTGTCGGGGAACCTAGGAAACCCTTGAAAACACGAATTCCCACCCTCCCTTCCCCCATCACGTCATCCAGCCGACCGAAGATGATTTGTCATTGTCTTCCCCCACATCAAGCTCTATTTATTTATTTCTTCCAATACACCCCAAAATGGAGATCGATGGATATAGAGGAGGGGAGGGGGAGGGGGCGGGACCTCTCTCTCTCTCTTCTTGTGGCTTTCCATGCCCTAAAAGGGACCGATGGCTAGGCATCATTGCCCACCCCCTTTCCCCCCTTCATACAGCCACTCAGCCGCACCCAGCTCCATCCTCTAAATACTTCAAAATTCTTGCGTTGTCGGGCTCTTTTTAATTATTGTAATTCAGAATAGAGGAAAACGAGATTGTTTTTGTTCAGCGGGTTATTATTTTGCTAAACTGGCACGTAAATGCCTTTTTTAAGTAGTGAAAAATGCAGTTTTCCATTTTGTCGATCCTCAAACCTGAAAATATAGGATTTTTTCGCACGTATGCTATTTTTTATACTTCGTCGTCCCCCCGGGGGGATCCCCCCACAAGGGGGGACCAGGGGGGGACGGCAAAGGGGGATGGTGGGGGGACCCAGGGGGGGACGGTGGGGGGATGGGGAGGGGATCCCCCTCCCCTCCCCTCCCCTCCCCCCCCAGTTTTTTCTGGCACCCGTATTGCGTAGTCGGGAAAACTAAATCGAACCTTCTAGTTGGAGTTCCACATACGTTTTTTGGATAGTCTGGTGTTTTGATGTTTAGATTAAGTTTTTTTACTTTTTAAAATTAATGACGAATTCGAAAATTCTGGTTGAGCTCGCCCGACAAGACATACTAGAAAGCTCTGATTTACCTGACAGAGTATCGATGGAAAATCAGAGTGTATACCAACCCAAAATTTTAAATAATTGAAAGGCTGGGCACTCAAATCCTTGAGACTGTAAAAATTTGAAAATTAGAGCAAATTAGCTCGTCGGAGCTCTCGGCATTAGAGAACATTCGACTACCACGTGCTGCTGTATTTTAAAATATCAAAAATAGCAGCTCTTTAACAAGTATTGAGATCTATCTAACCACATTGCGCGACTTGCGAGTCGGGGGGATCCCCCAGTGGTCCCCCACCGTCCCCCCCTGGGTCCCCCACCATCCCCCTTTGCCGTCCCCCTGGTCCCCCTAGTGGGGGATCCCCCGGGGGGGACGACGAAGTATACTATTTTTATTTTAACTGGTGTACCTTTTTATTTTAACTGGCACCTGTCAATAAGCTCTGTTGAGCCGGATGTCCACCCAGACACGCTGATTTTTGTTAGGGATTTCTGTTTGACGCCTCTCCATTTGACGTAATACCAAAAAAGTGTAAAATTCTCTGAGAACAGCTCGTCATTTTAGCCGATTGTTTATGGACGGGCCTTTTGAAAGGGGGATTACCGCCCACACCCCCAAAAAGGACGAGTCATCTGTGCTCCACCTCACCCCCAGCTGTTGCTCACTTTGAATAATCCACCTCCGCCTCTCCTCTGTTATATAAAATTCCCGGCGGGGAACTCTGCACATTTCACCTCACTGCATAATCATTCTTCATTCTGAACGCCACGGCAGGTGGTCGAACAGTTTTTGTTAATCCTTCTGTCTAGACACGTCTGTGTTCCTTCGTTTTTTTGATCATTCTCAGAATTCGGGTTAATTGGCCCGAAACTCAATCCAGTCAATCTCGTTCAATTGTTCTAGGAATTGGTTTTGAATATGTTTTCCAGCCAGAAATGACGAATTCGTAAATGTTTTCAAGCTTAATTCTCATAAAAAAGTTTTATTAAACTTATTAGCCTTTTTATAGAAAATTGTGGTTTTTCAAAAAACTCAATCCTCAAATTTTACAATAAAACTGTGGAAGTGTATTTTATGCATTATTTTCATTCCAGTTTACATGAATTTAAGAAATATATTATATTTAATAGCTTTTTACCTCGAGTTCTGAGCAAAACTGAAAAGATCCCCGTTTTATCTAAAATTTTGGCTTTCAAAAAACTCAATCCTTGAAATTTCACAACAAAACTTTGGAAGTATCTTTTCAGATTATATTCCTTCCAGGTTAATCAAATTTAAGAATTATTTTCCATTTAATCCTCTTTTAGCCTAGCCTTACTCGAAAACTTGAAAATGGGCGAGTCGACCCTCTAGAATATGCCGATGGGGGAAGCCATTTCTGACCGAAACTAGAGAAGGAGAGAGAGAAAGAGAGAGAGAAGGAGGGAAGGATTCATGCCGAGGGAAAGAGAAGAGGATGATATATCTATGTGGGGTAATAGATGGGGATATTGGGGTGGAAAACTGGTTGCGTGACACCTTCTGCTTTCCCCCCTGCGAGTAGTCTACCCCTCGATTTGTCAATTCACTCTTTTTTCTCGGCTGTTTCCCACTACGACTCTTATTTGTGGGAGCCAACGTCAAATCTCGTGTATTTAATTATATTATTACAACACTCAAAACACAAATTTTCTCGAAACTCTCCATCTCAATTTTTCACTTTTTTTGCCAAAATTTCCGTGTATTTTCCTTTTTCAGAAATTCCAATTTACAAATGGGCGAACTGGAGACAGACGAGCATCTGACCCAGTTCAATTCCTCCGGAAGGGCCGGCAGACGAAATGCGGTACCCGAGATCGACATCTCCGAGGTCGACCCTGAAGCTGTCCAGTTGGCTGAAAAGTGGGTTCTGCGGCTTCAAAAAAGCTGCATTCTTCTCGATTCTAGCCAGTTGGCCTAGTTGACAAGAAAAGAAGTCGGAAACCATTTGGAGAACTAGCCTGTGAGCACGAGGGAGATATTTGCCCGGGCTGAAGCTGTCTTCAGGGGGGTTGCCGGCAATCGAATCGAGGCCATGCCCTCGGGGGCTATGGGGGACACAACATGGCCAAATATAGCCGCCAGGGGACAGGAAAGTGGGTGGAACATTTGGGGGAAAAGCAGGGAAAAGCTCTAAAAGAGAACTAGAAGCCGTTGTTTAGATTCGGGCAGCTCGATCCATCCGACCAGCCCTCTTCCTCCAAACAGAATCACCCACAAAAAGGTCGGTGGAAATGTTTTAGAAGTTGCTGAAAAGGAAAGCAAGCTGGTATGTAGGCTTCATCATGGAGCCATGAAAATTTAGGAACTTCGGATTTTTGGAGGATTGAGTTTGTGTAAAAAGTTTAAGCCTTTTTCTATTAACGAGATACTTTTAGTTAAGTTCTAAAAAATCAATCGAGTCTTCGAAACTCGAAACTGTTAAGAAGACTTTTTGAAATGAGGTGTTTAGAAACTATAAATGGTATAAGTTGGAGGATTGAGTTTTTCAAAAAAATGGCCTTATGACTTAGAAAAGCGCGGAAAAGCTTTGCATTACCTTTTGGAAACTGATTCTTGCTTTACAAACCCGAAACTGTTACGCAATCTTTAGAATCAGCTATCCAGAAACTAAGGATCTTCTAATTCGGAGGATTGAGCTTTTCAAAAATCCGAATAATTTGAAGCATTTTCTCCTCTGTCCTGTGAAGCGTCACCCCCTTTCATTTCCGTACTCCCGGGCTACAATTCCAAGGATTGAGTCTCAGAATAGCTTACGGTGGCTTCATCCGCACTTCTCATCGCCTTTTTGTCTCCAAAAATGCACTAATGACATACAAAATATCTCCCTCTCTCTCATTCTGCTGTTTGCTCTCCAGCCACGCCATATATCCATAGAAATGTATTCCAGCCGGCTTCATCCCATCCGAAAACATGGCTTGTCCTTCTCTTCCCTTTGTCTGCCTTCCCCTCGTAAATTCTATTGTCTCCTGGGGGATCCACCGGCAAAACCCTCTTCCCCTTCATTCCCTCCAATCCCCGTTCTTTAGCCCGGAAATCCCATTTTTTTTCTAGCATAAAAGGTGAGGATTAGGGCCGGCACCTGGAAATTGGGCCCCTTCCGGGGATCTCTGGCTGCCAAAAAGCCGAGATGAAGCCCCAATAAATTATTCGCAAAAAACCGGAAGTCGTGGAGCGGTTCTTTGGAATTCCGGCTAGCTGGCGAGCCTTCTGGCGGGAAATCTTGCGAATTCTCGCGATTTCCAATTTCTGGGGGCCATTCTGGGTGGTGGGGAACCCATTTTGGAATGCACTCATCTCGAATTCCCTGGGAAACGCCTTCTACCCCCCATTTCTCGCCGCCACTTTCCCCCACGGCGTCCAAAAGGCATCGAAAAACGGCCCCGGGGGCCAAAATGAGCATGAGTGTCGGAAAGGAGCAGAAGAAGAGGATTGAATTGGGTTTACTGGCATTTCTTAGCAGTCAGAAAAGAGGAATCATAGATTTAGATGATCGGGCTGTTTGCCAAGACACCAGTGTCATCAAAATCCCATTCCCTGCCCCCCGACGGGGATGTTTTTGGCGTTGGAATTGAGAATGTCCCTTTCTGGGGTCCATTCCTCTCATCCGGCTTCCCTTCTGGATGGCAATAGCCGTAATGAGCAGCCGGCCGTAGCCCCATCCCCTCTCTCTTGCTCCTCAGATGGAGAGCTATTTTGAGACCCGCAGCGAATGGCACCCAGTCTCCCAGAAGGGATATCCACCCCGAAAATACGGATTATGAATCGGGAAGCATTTCCCCGAAGAAGAGAGAGAGAGAGAAAGAGACGGAGAGAGACCGAATGGATATCCACCAACACAAAATAACCCCCGCCGGCAATCTATCTGATGGGTGTCATTTAGGGAGACTGACTCGATTATTACCGGGGCGCCCAGGGGAGATGCGCGAAAATACGAAATTGGCATCCAGGAATCCAATTTTTCCGACGAAACGTCACTAGAAAATCCCATCTGGCGCCTAGGCTTTAATTCAACGCCCTTAGAATTTTTCTAGCTCTAAATTTGAGGGATTGAGTTTTTGGGAACTGCCAGCTGACTGGTAAAGCGTAGCTTGACGTCGTTACGAGGGTCTAAATCGGCAATTTCAAGGATTGAACTTTTATCGAGCATAATTTCCCGTTCTCGACGGTTTACGAATGAAATCGAGCAAATCGGGCATTTCGACCTTTAGCCCCGAATGTTTCTCTCTGTGCGAATCAATTCATATCTGGGCAGAGACAGATGATCATCCCGATCTCAGTTTCCGGTTGGTTGATAGATATCCATCCACGTGCTCTCCTTTCCCTTCCATTTCCATCCAGTTCGAATGGAGAACAATCCAATAGGGAGTGGTCATGATGAGTTGTCGATCAATTAATATCCAACTGCCGTTCCAGCTCTCAATTGAGAATCGCGTTGTTTGGATGGAACACCACGAAAATCGGGGGAGAATTGGTTGTTTTTGAGTTTTAATCGGGAAATGGATTCCGTATCTGCCAGTTTGCCTTCACTAGCTCTTGAAAAAAAGATTACGACGGTATTCTGTGGGTATCGCTTCAACTGCCATCCAATATATCCCAAATTTCAAGCAATATGGCCGGAAATTAGCGGTTTTCGAGTTTTACTAGGGGAATGGGTCCACGTTTTGACAGTTTGCCTTGTAAGACCCTATAAAACCAGTTTACGGAAAAAGAATTAGAGGTGTCGTTTAAAATGCCCTCGAATTCACAGTTTAAACTGTGGACATTTTGCCTAATTGGTCGCGCGGAAAAGTTTCACAACTAATCCGGATCAAACAGCGCCCCGTGCAGCTAGAGCGTCAGATGGTCAGCTGACAGCTTTTCCTGTTTTCAACGCCGAATCTTGCACGATGGACAGACAGATAGATAAACTGACTGACAGGATAATGATCAAACACCCGTTGCCGGTCAACTCTATGCAAATAGGCTTTATGGTTGGGGAACGGTGTCAGGGGGTTATTTTCGATACAAAAGACTACAGAGCAGACAAAATGGTCGGCAAACGGCTCATTGAACAGTAGAGCTGCCAAATTGAGGCTTACACGGGGTGTGGAGGTATCATTACCGAGGCGGTAGAGATCAGCCATCAGCAACAACCATAAAAACAACAATTTCGGAAAAAAATTGAAAAATATGGTTTTGAGGAAATTTCCGTTGCTCAAAAAAAGATTAGCAGACCATTTAAAAAAATAGGCTATGAAAAACTCAATCCTCCAAAAATTCGGCAGTATGGAAAAAAGGCCCCAAAAGCTGATGGTAGATATCCAGCTAAAAACTAGCAAAAACCAAATCCTCGAAAAAGTTTCGATAAACCTCAAAGCTGAAATAATTGTTTTTGCGGCATCCACGTCAAAACTTTTGAAAACTCAGTCCTCCAAAATGACGCCAGAAATGTGAAAAACAGAAAAACACTCATTTCCGATCTCCACCAAAAAGGTACCAAAAACTCAATCCTCCAAAATCCGTTAAAAAATCTAAAAACAAAAATAATATTCTTTTTCAGTATCCACCTAAACCTCCCTCATGAATTTTCAGACCCGCCAACCAACGAGGTGCCAAAAGAAGATGCGTAGACCCACATGGACTGTCTACCAATGAAAAGCCTTTTGTATGAATCGCCCCCAATCGAAGCTGAACCTCCTGAACATATTCCCCCCGTTGATCATCTCCCTCCCTTCCCCTTCAGATATTCTTGTCGTCATTCCAACACGGGTTTCCCCAATTCTCATTTGATCTGTTGCCCCATTTTTGGACGGCTTGAGTCAGCCGATTCTAAAAATAAGTATTTCCCCTATCCCGAGGTCCTTTTTGAAAAATCGAGTATTATTATTCCTTTTTGGCCATTATATACTGTAAATTATGAATGAGTTTCCAGATAAAAAGATGTGCTATTTATCTGGAAAACAGAGGACAATCCTAGCAACTTTTCTCTAGCGAGGGACAGAAGATGGAAGGTGAAGGGATAGAAGAGACCTCCTCACAACATCTCCAGGGACCAATGTGTCAGCTCTTTCTCCTTCTCTCTCTATTTGGAGCTCACCTCCTGACTACCCACACGTCATCATCTTCACAGCTATTTATCTGGCTGCAGATCTTTGCACTTTGATGTCTTCGAAGGGGATATTGGTGACGCGGAGGCTAAAGGTCCGAAGGTATCAACATAAAAACTCAATCCTTGAAATCCTGGAGTTATACCTTGAAACCGATATAATTCGGTACTACGCATTACAAAGAACAATTTAGTGGGGATGATTTACCAAAAAAAAACCCAGATACGGCAAGATACTACGCGCCAGACGAAATCGGTGGGAAGCGCCCCAAAACTCAATCCCTGAAATTAATGATTAACTGAACCGGTTATGAATTAAACGAGTTAATTTCTTCCAAATAAGGCTTCGCTAAGAATATTTTAGAAACGCGAGACGTGACGAGCAAGGAAAGGCCCATCAGCATAGATTGCAAGAAGTCTCCACAGCCCAAAAAGCTCAATCCTTGCAATTATCGATACTTTATTCAATTCGCGAAGACTATTTGTTCTTCAAAGAAGGTGCATATGGGCTTGAATAAAAAATTTTAGCACTGCAAGCCCCCCCAACACGCGCTCGACTTCAGAACGTTAACCCGCAGCTATAAAAACTCAATCCCTGAAATTGTCGATAAACTGTTAAACTCAAGAAGCTATCTACGGCTTGTTCTCCACAGAAGACGTTTATGAGAATGATTTCTGGAATTCCAGCGCCGAAGAAAACCTAGAAAACCGCTTTATTCGCTGTGACATGGATGCGAAATATCGACGCTGAGAGAGATATGACGACCAGTGACAGTGGATGCATCGAAGAGAAGGAGAAAAGAGAGAGAAGCAGGGCAGGCAGGCAGAAAGACTGAAGGAAAATGGGGAATATAGAAAAGCAAGCTAAAAAAGTAACAAATCAAGAATTAGGAAGCGAATGGATGCTGAGAGTTAGATAAAAACGCACAAAAAAGAATAAAAAGCGAAGGATTAAAGTATGCGGAATGTATCGGAATCGGGAGGGGGAGACCTAGAAAATGAGATACGCTGGAAAACAAACCAAGAAAATTACCATTCTAGGATTTACAAAATAAATTAAAGACCTGCAAAATCACAGAAATACCTTGCAGGCTAACAATTCACAGAAATTCGTATAAGAATAGTTACAAAAAACGTGAAAATCAGCATTTTGTGAGCTTCTCGGTAACTGGACGACACTCGTATTGATGTTGTTTGTTCTGTTCCGTTTCCTCTTCAATAATTCCCTCAACCAATGGCCTGTCTCTCGTTTCGGGTAGACAACAAAGAGTCACGATCCACTGCACCGAGACGAACGCCGTGAACACGAGGTACGGCGCCAGAAACCACACGCTGCTCAGGCCGGCTATCTGCAAAGGGAGGATTGGATACAGTATCACAGAGAATTAAATGGCGCAATGCTAACTGGATTTTCGAAAAATTTTGAAGCTTTGAGTTTTGAAAAAAACAACACCCTAAATTGTATTCTATAAATTCGAGATTCTTCAACATTCTATAAAGCGGAAATTGTATACTGTAAAACAGTGAATTGAATGGCGTAATGTTAACTAGATTTTGAAAAAAAAAATTGAGGGATTGAGTTTTCGACCGCAAAAACAATGGATTTTGGCAAAATTCAAGGATTGAGTTTTTTTATAAAAGCCAGAGAACGGTTATATAAAAACCGGCAATTGTTCACTGTACTCCGATAAATTAAATAGCGTAATCGGAGCCGAATTTCCGCCAAATTCAAAGGATTGAGTTTTCCAAAAACCCCTACCCAAGGCGCGACAACACTGCCCAGCCGCCCTCCAATATTACAGACAGCACGTGCCATTGATCTGACGCTAGTTGGGAAGAGTTCCGTCGAGTAGAGATGGTTTACCTAAAATAAAATATTATTTAAATAAATTTTAAAATCTACCTTCCACGCCGGATCGATAGCAGCAGCGGCAATGATGGACAGCATACCATACAGCCAGCACGTTGTCGAGAGACCCGCGTAGTAGCTGGAAAAATAAATGGTAAAACGACAAAGAAAAACCTACAGTATCAAAATGGTGTAACTCGAGACACAAGCAACCCCGAGAGAGACGAGAACCATTGGACGACGACCGATGAATGACAGCATGAATGGGATCAGGCCGCAGAATAGCTAAAAAAACGAATATAAATAATAAATTGGTAAATATATACCTTTAACAATCCCATGGCGCCCAGATTAGTGATCCTATTCCCCGGGATGACATCAACAAAAAAGTAGTAGCCGAATGAGACGATGGATGAGGCCACGAAACAGTACGTTAGAGCGAGGAGGGGGCGCCGGATGCTTGGATATCTGAAAAATGAGATCATTACTAAATTTTCGTGCGGAAAAAAGAAACCGGTTGTGAAATTCCATTTTCTGGTTAGCGTTCTTGGCGTAGATGCTTGTCTAGAGGGAAAATATGGGAAATCCAAGGATTGAGTTTTTACCAAAGATGGGCTGAAAACTAAATTTTCCAGAATTTCCCAAAACAGCAATCGCTCTTCGGTTATAATAGTCTGTGTCACACTGGTTACGAGATGTTAAGTTTCAACCCAAAAGCATGAAAATCCGAGGATTGAGTTTTTGGAAAGCTCAAGTCAATTCGTCGAATTTCCATTAAAAGACGAGCTCGTCTCACGCTTGGGAATCCGCTAATTATCCACCTCAACAGATCCGTGTATCGATAGTGTCGTGGTGGTTCATTCGATTCGTGTGATGTTCCTCGGCTGGCTACGTGCAGAAGGAATTGAGAGCCGTGGGAATCCCCTAAAAAGTGGTTTTGAGTAGAGCCAGTTAACAAACCATTAACATCGATGACCTTCTCGGCAATGGCTACAGCTTGTTTCACTCGATTCTTCGATGCCAACCATCTCACTGATTCGAGTGACCACCAGTACTGAAAAATACACACAACTGATTACGACATGTAATTGGAAACTGACCAGCAAAACGAAGATAATTGTCGTGAAAGCGGTGGTGAAGTAGAAATAGGGTCTCCAGTGGCCAGAATATCGATACAGGGCTGCCACGGCTGTCATTCCCATTGGCCAGCCATTTACTGCAAAGAAATAGTAAGTATTTGTACTTTTTATGTAAGTACGTACGTCAGTACGACTAAGAGCGTACATAAGTACTTATGACAACTAAAAAGAATCTATACCTGACACAACTAGTAGACGACTTCGAGACGTACAGAGAAACTCCACGACAAGCGTCAAATTCACTACCTAAAAAGTGTCAAAAATCGCTAAAATCATTAGAAACTGATTTTACCATATATCCACCACAAGCCGCGCCCAAAATGCCGAGGAGGAAGGTGGTGAACAGCCAGTTGAGACCGCCGATTAGACTGACAGCCAGACAACCCAGGGAGATCGTTAGTAGACAGCCTAAAACAAGGAATATAGATTTTTAGAAAACTTGAGCTTTTCTTACCTAACATAGTGGGTCTTCTGCCATACGCATCAGCCAGATATCCACACAGAAAGGCACCCGCTAGCCCGCCAAACATTATCACGCTCGCTACAGTGTCTCGGACTCTGAAAAAATAAGCTTTTAGGCCGAAATATCTGAAAAAGCGAGTTTTCCATGTAAAAAATATGTTTTCTAGGTAAAAAACGCGTCAAAAAAGGCTTTGCAAGCAACACATTTGCAAATCAGCAGTTTTGGGCGCAAAAAAATCTGAGGAAGTACGTTTTCTAAGAGAAAAAGTGAAAAATAAGTTTCCTAGGCCAAAAAACTTTTCTGTCCAAGGAAACTCCGAAACATACTTGTAAGTGATACAAGCCATATCCCATTCGATGAGCAACGAGTGGAAGTCTATGTCGATTTGTTCGATTGTCCTGTTCTGCTCACAATAACCCTAGAAAAATGTAACAATTTGTAACCAAAAGTCAATTTTACCGTAGGCGCGCTAAAAACTGAGGCCACCAGAAGACAGGCCGCAATCGAAACGTATCCCAATTGTGTCAAAACGAGGAGAACGATCTAAAAAAAGGAAAATCCGCTTCAAAAGGAATTGTCGTACCTGATATTTGCGAAAATCGGCGAGACTATTGTCGTGGCATTTCGTGGTGGGCTGAGAATCGTTGAGGGAGGAGTTTTCCGAGCTGTTCTCCTCCATCATACCTGAAAAATAGAAAATTATTATAGAAATTGACAATCTGGAATACAAACGACTGATTCGAGAATTTATAGAGCTAGCTGGGCTGTATTCTGTGATTCCCTGCATTTTCTGGGTAGCAACAGCCCCCGTCTGATTTGGCCCAAAAATGGCGATATTCCCGTCATTTTGTTGGAAAGAAAGAGATAAGGCTTTGGGGAAAATCGCTTGAATATAGCTGGGATGCCAAAGAGCGGAGAAAAGTACGTGCAAATGCACCAAAAATCGGAAAATTAAATAAAAAGCCGTGAGTTGAGGAACAAAATGAACATTCCTGCTGTTTGCGCGCAAAAAGGCGTAAAATACAACTAAAAACTCAATCCTTCAAAGAAAGCCTTATTCAAAAATTTTC